CTCCCTCCCTCCCGCTCTAAAAGGATGGAAAATATCCTCGGGTGAGGATTAACAGCAGCAAATTGCACTGGACAACAGTGCCCATCCCACGGAATTGGCACACGGGGCAAATAAGTGGTCTAAGAAGGGTCCCCCAGGGCCTGCTTGTCCTCACCCCACTGCACAGCTCCCCTTCCTCCCCACATGCTCCCTACACCCCGCTTTCCCTGGCCCCAGACGGGGCCACAGCCCTGCCGGACACACTTCTTGGCGGCTTTTAGGATTCCTAGAAAAAGGGGTTGAGGCCCTCCTAGGGTTTGGGTGACGCTGGAGGGTCTAGCTGGGGGCAATGGCCCTGGAGCCTGAGTGGGAAAGGGGTGCAAGGGTGTGACAGGCACTGGGGGCCTCTGGCAGGGTTGGGGGGACAAGCTCCTGGTGGGGGACTGAGGGAGGCGCTGTTCAATCTCGGGGGTCTTTGGAGGGGAGGCTAGCAGGATCAGGCAGGACTTCTGGGAATTTTAAGGGCTGGATTTCAGGGGGTCTCTGACGGGAACTCTGGGGAGGGAGTCTCTGGACTCCTGGGGTCTCTCTGCCTGCATTTCTAATAGGGTCTCTGGATTTCTGGGGTCCCTCTGACTGGATTCCTGGGGGTATCTCTGTCTAAATTTCTGGGGGTTCTCTGGGGTTTCTCTGACTAAATTTCTGGGATATCTTTTACTGAACTTCTGGGGGTTCTCTGACTGGATTCCCGGGGTCTGACTACATTTCTGGGGTTTCTCTGACTGAATTCCTGGGGTCTCTCTGATTGGATTTCTGGGGGGTTTCTCTGACTGGACTCCTGGCGCTTCTCTGACTGGATTCCTGGGGTCTAAAATCCTGGGGTCTCTCTGACTGAATTTCTGGGGGTTCTCTGGATTCCTGGGGTCTCTTTGGCTAAATTTCTGGGGTTTCTCTGACTAGATTTCTGGGGTTTCTGTGGTTTCTTTATTTCTACAGAGTCTGGGTTTCTGGGGTATCTCACTGGGTTTCTGCGGGGTCTCTGACTGGATTTCAGAGCTCTCTCATATTTGGGAGGGGAATCTGACAGGATAGTGACAAGGTTTCTGGGGAATCTGACAGGATTCGGAGGGTCTCCGGTAGGATTTGGGGAGGCAGAGGAATGGGGTTTCAGGGTCTCTGGCAGGGTCTGAAGAAGTCTGACAGAATCTCTAAAAAATTCTGACAAATAATAGCTGTTCATTGTAGTAGAGTCGGCGATATGGGAGGGGCGTGGACTGACTGTTCTCGGGGAAAGGGAGGGAGGAAGAGACTGAACATAAACTGTGCACCTATGGATGAGGACAATGGGGGGCGGGGAGTGGGGTGGGAACCTGGTGGAGGGGGGAAGAAATGAGGAACCTTTGTAATAATATGAACAATAAAGATTGATTAAAAAAAATTGGATTGTTAAAAAAAAAGAAAAGAAAATGAAAGCCAAAAAAAAAAAATTCTGACAAGATTTCAGGGTCCTCTATGAGGTCTCCTGGTGGGTTCCTTTCAGTATTTCTGAGGGGATTTGGCCAGGATTTCAGGAAAGCCTTTAACAAGACATGGAGGAGGCCCTGGCATTGGGGGCACTCCCCCAGGATTTACCGGTTTTACAAGGATTTCGAGAGGGGCTCTAACAGGGCGCACCTGGGGCCGCGTCCCACTCCCGGGACACAGGCGAGGGCCACGCACGACGAATGACGAACGACGGACGACGAGCAGCAGTTGCCCGCGTGGAGAGGCGCGTACGCAGCTCCCGCCGGAAAAGCAAACCATAGCGGAGGGCGGGGCGGAGGGCGGGGCGGGGCGCGCACGCGGGGCGGAACGGAGCGCGCACGCGCGGCGTCTATCTCCCGCCACGCTGCGCTCCTCCCCCGACGCAGGCGCACGTCGAGGGAAGGCGCGCGCTAGTCGGTTACCGGCTACCGCGAGGCTGCGCATGCGTAGGGCTGCGGGGGCGCGCGCCCAGTGGAGTGGAGCGGGCGCATGCGCGCTGCGGCGTGGGTGAAGGCTGGAGGGATGGTCGCTCTTCGGGAAAGGGCAGGGGGCGCCAGCCACTGCGCTGGGGTCTTCTCGGCGTCCCCAGGCTTCGGTGAAATAGATTCAAGCAAGGGGGAGCTCGGCGGAGAGTCTCCTTGTTTATTCCCACTTATTAGCTACCAAGCCGTGGCCTTTCTGTTCGCCCTTTCCGTTACAATCTAGTCTCTCTGCGCATGCGCCCTTTGGTGACTGCAGTCCTAACGTATTAATAGACCCCCATGGGTCTTTCCCAAACGGTTCCATTCACCCCTTTTCGGAGAAAATGCGGACAAAATAGTCACAGCTTTTCCGGCTAGAGAGAATCAATCCAAAATTGACTCCCAAAAAGGGGAATTTGGGACAAAAGATGTCCCAGCCACTCAAACTCTGCTAGCTTTTTTTCTTTTTTAAAAATTTATTTTATTGATTTTGTACAGAGAGGAAGGGAGAGAGATAGAGAGCCAGAAACATTGATGAGAGAGAGAGAGTCATCCACCAGCTGCCTCTTGCACACCCCCTATTGGGGATGTGCCCGCAACCAAGGTACATGCCCTTGACCGGAATCAAACCTGGGACCTTTCAGTCCCCAAGCCGACGCTCTATCCATTGAGCCAAACCAGTCTCGGCTCTCTGCTAGCTTTTATTATCCACTTTTTAGAGGTCCTCACGGCACGTCTTAAAACGAGACACATTCTGTATTTGCGTTCTGTCATCCACAGGGGGATGTGAGCTATATGCAGTAGGAGACTGCTTGGGGGATGGAACATGCCTGGCCCGGTGTGGGCACTTAAAAAAAAAAAAGTTGAATGAGTGAATGGAATTCATGCCTGCTAAGTGCTGGGCAGTGTGGAATAATGAGGAGGTTGTGGGCCTGGAGTGAGACATGCTTTGTTTTCAATTTTGGTTCCATCACTTCCCAGCTGTGACCTTGGCACGATGGCTGCTCTCAGTTTTCCTCCCAGAAATAAAGATAATTGCTTCCTAGGTTATCTCAAGGACTTAAGGTGGTAATCCTTGTTATTTTTTTTATATTAATTGGTGGCTTGTTTTAAGGCCCAGGAAAGAACCTGCTTGGCAGGTAGTGGGGTGAGTGGTTAAGAGATATGGAATTGGACAAACCTAGAGCCATTGCTGTGAGACTGGTGACATCATCCCCCTAAAAGCAGCCTTTTCCCTGAAATGGGGACAAATAGTATCTACCCGGGGTCTTATAAGAATTCAGTAAGAATGTTTTCCATGTGCTTTGTTAGCATAGGATGGTAAGTGGTAAACCCCATTAGCTTTATTAATATTTCAGATTATATTCAGTATTTTGTGTGTGTGTGTGTATGTGTGTGTGCGCGCGCGTGTGCCCTTACCGGAGTCCAACTGGCAATCTTTCAGTGCATGGGATGACACTCAACCCACTGGGCCACACAGGCCAGGGCTCTTTAGTATTTTTAAAAAATATATATTTTATTGATTTTGTACAAAGAGGAAGGGAGAGAGATAGTTAGAAACATCGATGAGAGTCATCGATCAGCTGCCTCTTGCACACCCCCTACTGGGGATCTGCCCGCAACCAGGGTACATGCCCTTGACCGGAATCGAACCCGGAACCCTTCAGTCTCCAAACCGACGCTCTATCCACTGAGCCAAACCGGTCCCGGCTCTTTAGTATTTCTTGTTCCTTTTTTGAGGTCTGGGTAATTTTGTACCACCTGGAAATTCATTTTATAGTTTATTTTAAATCTTAAGTTATTGCTCAATTAAATTTTTATAGTTTTTTGAGATGAGTGCTTAGTGATATTTTTCATTTAGCCTTTTTTCTAATACCGGTATATGCACTTAAGGCCATAATTTGCTTTAAGAACTTTTTAAAAAAATATATTTTATTGATTTTTCACACAGAGGAAGAGAGAGGGATAGAGAGTTAGAAACATCGATGAGAATCATCAATCAGCTGCCTCTTGCACACCCCCTACTGGGGATATGCCCGCAACCAAGGTACATGCCCTTGACCAGAATCAAACCCGGGACCCTTCAGTCCCCAGGCCGACCCTCTATCCACTGAGCCAAACCGGTCCCGGCTGCTTTAAGAACTTTTTTAAAAAGTTTTTTCTTAGGGAGAGAAAGGGACAGGGAGAGATAGAAATATCAATGAGATGCCCTGCCGGCATAGCTCAGTGGTTGAGCACTGACCTATGAACCAGAAGGTCCCGATTCAATTCCTGGTCAGTGAATATGCCCGAATTGCAGGCTCAGTCCCCAGTGCGGAGCATGCAGGAGGCTGCAAATCAATGATTTGTTTTCATCATTGATGTTTCTCTCTCTCCCTTCTCTGAAATAAAAATACATTATAAAACTTCGATGAGAAACATAAACCTTGATCAGCTGTCTCTTGCATGCCCTCTCCCCGCAGCCTGAGCATGTGCCCTGAACAGGTATTGGACCAGCAACCTCTTGGTGCATGGGTTGACTTTGCAGCCACCGGTTGGTCCTGAGAATCTCTTGAGCTACACTCAAGCTTATGTCACATTGCCATTATTATTTTAAATATTTACTAATTTGCTCTAGCTCTTTTGGCTCAGTGGCCAGAGCTTGGGGGGGTTCCGGGTTCGATTCTGATCAAAGGCACACCCCAAGGTTGCAGGCTCCATCCCCAGTAGGGGGCGTGCAGGAGGCAGCTGATCAATGATTCTCATCATTGATGTTTCTAACTCTCTCCCTCTCCCATCCTCTCTGAAATCAATAAAAATATATTAAACAATAAGATATTTACTCATTTGACCTGTGCATTATTTTAGTGGTGTCATGCTTCATTTCCATGACTGCCTAGTTATCTCATTGTTGAGACTTGCCATGGCCTGATTCGCTGAGGCTTGGGGACATGTGCTTACAAGGAGAGAGCGCTCTTAGATGTGAGAACTTTATTTCCACATGAGCTCAGGGTGGGGTCTGGTTGTGGGTGCACACAGGCGCTCCCACCCCCACACCTATAGCTGCTGAGACGGCCTGAGGATGTACAGGAAGTGCGTCTTGCGGGCAGGCGGCTTGAAGTGGGGGGAGCCCTGGGGCCCTTTTTGCAGGGCTTCCTCTCGGGCCCCCTCCAGCAGCCCGTCCCGGATGGCCTGCAGGCGGTGCTCCTTCTCGCTGACGGAGTGGCTGCCCTCAGGGGCACTCTGGTGAGACCTTCGCCGCGGGAGCTTCATGATCCAGAAGGCCACTCGGGGGTGCGGTTCGGGGTGGAAGCTGTCCAAGGCCTTTGGGCCGGGCACCAGGGCCTCCTTCTCCTCTGGCTTGGGCACCTGGGGAGGAGGGACAAGATCAGTCAAACCCCAGACTCTCAGACCCACTGGCTTCTTTAGCTCCGTTTGCCACCTATAGGTCGCTTTGGGAGTTAAAAACCCTCCTAGCGGTTTACAAAGCGCTTGGGTTTACAAGCACTTTTGGATTCAAAATACTTGGTTTGTAAACTACTTTGGGGATGAAAACACACTTTGGAGGTTTCCAAAGCACTCTGGGGTTTAACATGTCTGTTGGGATTGCAGAACACTTTAGGATTAAATGCACTGCGAGGTTTGGTAGCGGTTTGAAATGTGCAAAGCGCTTTGGTACTAAAAGCTCTTGGCATTAAAAGAATTATGACCATAATCGCCATGCATATGGGTGTTGTTTTTTGATGTTATTGGCTAATACTTTGACCGGAATGTCAGGATTGAGAGGGACATATATAGACTCTGGTTGTTATCAGAAAAGTTTTAAGGAATTAGAATTGACTTTGGAAGCTGATAAAAGCCTCATAAAAAAATTTAAAAAAAGCCAAAACCGGGTTGCCTCAGTGGATAGAGCGTCAGCCTGTGGACTGAAGGGTCCTAGGATCGATTCTGGTCAAGGGTATCAAGGTCAAGGGCAACAAACATGCAGGCACATCCCCAGTAGGGAGTGTGCAGGAGGCACCTGAATTGATGTTTCTCTCTCATAGATGTTTCTAACTCTCAATCCTTCTCCTTTCCTCTCTGTAAAAATATATACAAAAAAAAAAAAAAAGATTTATAATGCAATTTGTCTCCACCAGGTTACAGGTCCTACTTGCACTCTGGGAATGTTGTCCATTGCTGACTCTAGACACCATCAAAACCTCCTTCTGTGCCCAGGCCTCCCGGCCCCTCTGAGCAAGGACCACTTGGCTCTGAAGGAAAACTCCACCCCTCTTCAGCATGAAGCAGCTACAGAAGAGAACCTATACCCCTTTCCCTTAAAGGAATCAGAGTCAAGAATCATTGAGGTGGAGTGTGGTAGCCAGGTAGGGAGGTGTGTGCAAGTAGGAATGACAAGCCAGGTACAGGTCACCAGGCAGAAAGCCCCGGTGGGACCTCGCCCCCAACGAGACATCCCCTCCCCTTGCATATTGCTGGTCGTGTAGCTTGGACCTCCCGTCCCCTGACCTTTATTTCCCTGGCAGGTCACTAGTCGTGTGGTGGACTCCCTTAGAGGAGGAACCAGGGGGCTGGAGAATGGCCTCGTATGACTGTCATACAAGCCCTCCTCCCTTAAGCATTAAGCCCTCAGGACAATGAGGGTCTGGCCAGCATCAAACAATCTTCAGAACAAAGCCTCGGGTCTGTGGACCGCAGAGCTAGAGTTTGGGTCAAACTAGACATAACATCTAGGTCTCAGGTGCGTCTCAGCTCCAGGCCCCAAAAACAGCTGCAATGTGTGGTCCTTGATTGGATCCTGGTCCAAAGTCAAATCAACTTCGGGTCCAGCGGAGACATTTGAATATGACGTCTGTCTGGTCAAAGTGTGGGTTGTGGACCAGCGTCCTCAGCATCTTCTGGGAGCTCATTAGACATGCAAATTAGTGGGATCCAACCCACCCACTGAGGAGACCTACTGAGTCAGTCTGCTTTTTAGTAAGTTGAGGTCTGAGCCTGGCCAGAGTGGTTAGTGGTTAGTGGTTGACCACTGACCTATGAACCAGGAGGTCATGGTTTGATTCCCGGTCAGGGCACATGCCTAGGTTTCAGGCTCAATCCCCACTGGGGGGCGTGCAAGAGGCAGCTGATCGACAATTCTCTCTCATCATTGATGTTTCTCTTAGAGGTCTGAGAAGCCCTGTAGGAGATTGTCATGGGTTGAACAGTGCTCCTCCCAATTTATATGTTTTTTTAAAATATATTTTATTGATTTTGTACAGAGAGGAAGGGAGAGAGATATGGAGTAGAGAGTTAGAAAAATCGATGAGAGTCATCGATCAGCTGCCTCCTGCACACCCCTACTGGGGATATGCCCGCAACCAAGGTACATGCCCTTGACCGGAATCGAACCTGAGACCTTTCAGTCCGCAGGCCGATGCTCAATCTACTGAGCCAAACCGGTCTCAGCCCAATTTATATGTTGAAGTCCTTACCCCCAGGACCTCAGAATGTGATCTTGTTGGAAAATAGAGTTATTGCAGGTGTAGTCAGTTAGGATGAGGTCATCATGGCGGGCCCTGATCCAATATGGCTGGTGTTCTTATGCAAAGGGGAAATTTATACATAGAAATGCACACAGGGAGAACATCATATGGAAATGAAGCAGAGATAGGGGTGATGCTTCTACACACCAAGGATTGCCAAAGACTGTCATCAAGCCCCCAGAAGGCGGGAGAGGGGCATGGAAGGGACTCTCCCTCACAGTCCTCAGAAAGAACTAGCCTTGATCTTGGACACCTTCCAGAACCCGGAAACAACCAGTTTTTGTTATTTAAGCCACCCAATCCGTGGTACTTTGTGACGGCAGCCCTCGCAAATTAATGCGGAGACAACAATTTGACATTCGGTGTCCTGGGTGTGGAAATGGTACTGTGGTCACGTGGAAGATGCATTAATCTTCAATCTCCTGAAGGACTTAGGGGTGAAGTGCCATGATGTCAGTAATCTATTGTTCTGGCCCTAGCTGGTTTTGCTCAGTGAATAGAACATCGGCTTGCAGACTGAAGGGTGCCGGGTTCGATTCCCGTCAAGGGCACATGTCCGGATTGAGGGCTCAAGCCGAAGAAGGGGGAGTGCAAGAGGCAGCCGATCAAAGATTCTCTCTCATCATTGATGTTTCTATCTCTCTCTCCCTCTCCCTTCCTCTCTGAGATCAATGAAAGTATATTAAAAAAGAATAATCCATTGTCTTATGGTTTACAAATACAAAAGTGAAAATGGTAAAAGGTTAAAAAGGGGTGAATCTAGGCCATCGGTTCTCAACCAAAGTCTGGAGGCATTTTGGTTGTCGCAGCTGGCTCGTGGGATGGTGCCTTGGTCTAGTTTGTGGAGGCCAGGCTGCTGTTAACATCTGACAGCGCACAGGTGGCCTCTGCCTGAGTATCTCCAGCCCCCGGGGATGACGGTGCCACGCCTGAGAACACTGCTCTATGCTAGAAGAAACGCAGATAGAATCATTGCACGATCTCCCCCTAACTTTCCTGTAGACTTGAAACACTTCAAAATAAAAACCTCTGTGTGTGTGCCCTAACCGGTTTGGCTCAGTGGATAGAGCATTGGCCTGTGGACTCAAGGGTCCCAGGTTCGATTCCAGTCAAGGCATGTACCTTGGTTGCGGGCATATTCCCAGGAAGGGGGTGTGCAGGAGGCAGCTGGTCGATGTTTCATCTCTCTCATCAATGTTTCTAGCTCTCTATCCCTCTCCCTTCCTCTCTGTAAAAAATCAATAAGATATATTAAAAACAAAAACAAGAAACCTCTGTGAGAGAGAGAACTGCATGGGTTTTCCAAGCACTTGGAGGTTCTTAAAACATTTTAGGATTAAAAAAAAGTCCTTTGGGATTAGATCCACTCTGGTGATATACACAATGCCTTTCGGGGTCATAAAGACCTTTGGAATTAAGAAATATCTCATTTTGGCGTTTATGAGGGAGGGACTTACCACCCTGGGGTAGGTTTTAAACATCCTGAAAAGGTGTGCAGAGCACTCTGAGCTAAAAACACACTCTGGCCGAAACTGGTTTGGCTCAGTGAATAGAGCGTTGGCCTACGGACTGAAGGGTCCCGGGTTCGATTCTGGTCAAGGGCATGTACCTTGGTTGTGGGCACATCCCCAGTAGGGGGTGTGCAAGAGGCAGCTGGTCGATGATTCTCTTTCATCGATGTTTCTAGCTCTCTGTCCCTCTCTCTTTCTCTCTGTGAAAAATAAATAAAATACATATTAAAAATATTTTAAAAACACACTCTGGTGTTGGTGAGGGTGACGCTGACCGGGCATCTGGGGTTAAAAGCACTTCCTGGTTTACAAAAGCCTCTGGAGTTGGCTAAGTGAGTGGGGTGGACTCTGAGGGTGAATACCGCATCACTGGGAGCTGGTTAGTCCCGTCCAGCTGATGACAAAACTTTTCGGGGGTAGGGGTGGGGTGGGGGTCTCTCCTCACCTTCCAGTCACCCTCCAGGCTCCCATCTCCTGCCTCAATGGAGGCCACCATCTTCTCGGAGATCAGCACCTCTCCTGTCTTGTTGTCAGTCACCTGTGAGGGTTGGAGGAGAGAGAGAGAGAGAGAGAGAGAGAGAGAGAGAGAGAGAGAGCGCAAAACTGCTTTCCTCCCCTGCCCTCCGCCCAGCAGACACGACAGCATGAGGGACCCAAGGCAGACTCCGGGAGGGACTTCCCGGCACAGGCACCTTGTCGATCTGGTGGTGGCTGGAGAGAGTGTTGTTCCCCAGCTGGCGCTCCTGGTTCTCTTCTTGGTGGTAGTTCGTAGGGAGGCCCCGCAGGTCCATGGGCGCCGAGAAGAAGCTGTCCATGCTCCGCAGCAGGTCATCCTGGGGCCAGCGGAGGGACAGGTGAGCCGTTGGACCTCAGGACGCCCCAGACTTCTGCAGCCCTGCCAGGATGCCCTCCAGGCCTCGCCATGTCCCTGTCACTCCCTTCCCTCTCCGTCTTGTGACCCTTAGGCCCCCATTCTTATTCTCTGCCCCATTACCTCCCAGTCTTTGCCCCTCATGCCCTCCTGTCTCTGTTCCATCCCACTCCTCAGTCTCTTTTCTGCCTCCCTGTGCCTGTCTCCTTCCCTCTTCCTACTTCTCAGTCTTCCTGTTGCTCTCTGTCCCTCTGACTCCCGCTCTTCCTTCTGCCTGGCCCTGACCTGTCTCCCATTGTTTCCTCGAACCCCTTCCATCTCTCAGTCTCCATCTATCCCTGTCCCTCTTCTCTGGAACCTCTTCTCCCCACCCCCTGCCCTCACTCACTTTCAGGAAAAGCCGGGTGAAGCCTTGTAGCAGTCTCTGGAGGCCCAGGAAGCCAGAGGAGCTTTCCTGGGCGTCAGCATCACGGATCGGGGCTGCAGCGGAGGGGGGCACCAAGGCAGAGGGGAGCAGCAGCAGCAGCAGGGCCAGCGTGTGCCACATGGCCGGCCGGGGCAGGAGGCTGTGGCATTGGTAGGGGTCAGAGCCCCCACCCAAGACAATCACGCCTTTCCTATCCCTTGCCCAGGTTTTACCTCTTGTCCAAGCAGCTCTTCCCCCGCCCCAAACCCATTTCTCCTCTCCCTTTTTCCTCTCCTCCCACCCCCTCCGTCGTGCTAGGTCTCTGAACCCTCCCAGGCCCGATTCTTCTGGGCTTTTTGCTTCACACCCGGATCGCATCCCTCTCCTCCCGCCACGTTCATACCCAGATCTCACGTCTCACCTTCTCCTTCTCCCCCTCTGGGCCTCGCTTTTACACTAGATCACAGTCTGGTCACTGGACTCTCTCAGACTCGGGCCGTCCGCGGACTGTTAAATCCAAACAGTTCTGGTCTCGAGCCCAGCGGGACGGACACCTGGAGCGTTGAATGAGCTCCGCGAGCCCTTAAGCCGCGCCCCTACGGCCTGACCACGCCCCCACATGTGACCTCACCTACTAGCCGAGGCCCTCTATTGGTTAGCCACGCCTCTAGGCGTTGGAAGCCACGCCCCTCGAGCGAGCCGGCCGTTGGTTTCACGGCCACGCTCCGACAGGCCACGCCCCTTTCGGTTGACCTCGCCGTTAGAGACCGAGTCTGGCCAGCCCCCGCTCCTACCGCAGGCGGCCACGCCCCTTTCCCTGGAGCCACGCCCACTTCTCTGGGCCACGCCCCCGCGCCCGGGCCACGCCTCTGCGCTGGGTCCAGCTCCTGCTCCCAGCGCCCTCTGTCACGGGCAGCCAGTCCTTCTTGGTTCGCCGCCCCCCATTTTTGCAGCTACCCCGAGAATCTCTCCGTGTGGCTTCTCGTCTTTGAAACGATGTTTGAAATGATGAATGCACCCCGAGACGCTGAACCCGGAGCCCTCTTGGGTCCCGCTAACCCCTCTCCAAGAAACCCGAAGCCAGTCTTCTGTTCCAGTTTCCAAGAAACTCGGGCTCTCCCCCCCCCCCCCCCCCCCCCAAGAAACACATTTACGTTGCTGCTCAGATTTTGTAATTTACTATAATGGTCAGTTTAAAGAAAAGAAGAAGAAGAAGCCGAAACCGGTTTGGCTCAGTGGTTAGAGCGTCGGCCTGCGGTTCGATTCCGGTCAAGAGCATGTACCTTGGTTGCGGGCACATCCCCAGTAGGAGGTATGCAGGAGGCGGCTGGTCGATGATTCTCTCTCATCGGTTTTTAACTCTCTGTCCTTCTCCCTTCCTCTCTGTAAAAAATCAATAAAATGTATTTAAAGAAGAAGGAGGAGGAGGAGGGGGAGAAGAAGAAGAAGAAGAAGAAGAAGAAGAAGAAGAAGAAGAAGAAGATGATCTCGGAGTCCGGGCCCCCTTCTCTCTCAGGCCCCCAGAGTCCGGACACCAGCCTGGTCTGGTCCCATGAGTTTGAACACTCAGGTCCCGGGTGTGTGTCTCGGTCCCGGGACACAGCGCCACCTCTAGCCCACGAGAGCGTGGCGTGGGTGCGGGAGCCTCAACCTCCACGGATCTCGCCTCGCCCGCAACTCTCTAACTCTGGTGAGGTCACCAGGAAACCCAGTTAGGATGGAACTCAATCAAAACACATCCCTGCACGTCCCTCCTCAAAAAAGATATACTCGAGGCTGAACAGGAAAGAACCTTTTGTGCTCGTATCGCTTCCACATCCCCAACACACAAACACAGTACTTAGAGGGACAGAGAGCCCAGGCCCCGCACCCCTCCTCCCGCGGACCCAGGAGCCCCGACCCTCAGCGCCCCTCCTCTCTCCAGGAATGGAAGCATACGAATCCTGAAGATGCTACCAGACCCCAGCGGGGCTTCCCCTTTCCTTTGGCCAAAGCAAATAATAATAAAAATAATAATAATCCTCCGACTGTCACCATCGCATCCCCCCTTCCCGCTGTCCGGTGCCCGGCCCGGGCCCGCCCCCCCTCCGGTCCCTCCCACTTTTCCCAAACAAAGCTCCCGGGCAACTTTCCCCCGCGCAGCGCCCCGCCCGCCCGGCTCCCCAGCCCCAGGCCGGGAGGTAGGAAGGCGCCGGCGGGAGTCGGGGATCCTGCTTTTGGGGTGTGTGAGTTGGGGTGGAAAGTTGCGTGGTGGTAGGAGTTTTAGGGGGTGTGTGTGGGGCCGCCTCTGAATTGCATGCACCCTTCTTGTTTTTTTTTTTTGGGGGGGTGGGGCGCCTCCAGATTTCGCTTCTGACCGAGTCTAGGGGCGAGGTTGGAACTTTGGCCCGAGTTGGGGTGTCTAAGTTTGGGGGTGGGAGGGCAGGGGACCTCGGCGGGGGGTGTGTGTCTGTGGTTGTAAGCCAGAAGGGGCTCTGTGCGCATTTCTGGACCCGGACTGGTTCGTGTGTGCCATTTGGGGGGGGGGGGAGTCCCCGGCCCCCCTCCTGGGAGAAAAGGGGCCTCCCTGGTGGCCAGAGGGCGTGCTACGGGGCCTTCTGGAGCTTCAGCCTGGTCTCTTCGGAAGTTTGGGGCCCGGGGCGGGAAATTCGGGGGGACCTTGCTCGGCCGGCCCCTCCGTCCCTTTGTCTGGCCACATGGGGGAGAGCTGGGCTGGGATGCCGGCCTCTGGGGGTCCTGACCGGCCGCAGCGCCATTGGGCTCGGCCTGGGGTCTTTGTCTTGCTGGGACGGGACTCGGGGTCCTGGGGGGGGGGGAGCCTGGACTCTGGGGTCCTGGGAAAGCTGGGGGAGACGTGGAGCCGCCGGGGAGGCGGGATCGGACTGTATTGGAAAAAGTTTTCCCCTGTTCCCGGCCTCCGGAAAGTCACTGGGAACGAGCGGAGCTGGACGCGAGCCCACGGGCGGGCGCAGGGGGGCTGGGGAGGGCGGGGGCGGGGCCGGGGCTGGAGGGGCGGGGCCCTGGCTGGCCAGCCCCTCCCCTTGTGGGGGTTGTGGGAAACTGGGGGAGGGGATGCCTGGGCCCTTTGTTCTGGCTCTCCCGATGGCAGTGGGCCCCTAACCCCCCCAGTCCGTGGTTCTGCGGGTCTCTCCTGGTCTCCACTTGAGTTTCCGCCCTGAGTCTCTGCCCCTCTTTCCTCTGGGTCTCTGCCCCCTCTCTCTGGACCTCCCTGTAGCCTTCCTACGGCCTGTGCCCCTTCCTTTCCAGCAGCTGCTGCTCACGTCCCAGCACCTGTTCTCCGGGTGGGACTAAGATCTCCCTCACCACCCCCTTCCCGCAAATAGGCCCTGACTCCTGTCTCCTTTTAACTAGCAATCCATACCCCCCACATGACCGGCCCTCATGGGCCCTGGGCCTGACTATGGGGTCTTCAGGGCTTCGTCACAACCCAGGCTCCCCTGGAGATCCAGAGGGGAACACGTCTCACCCTAAGCTTCCCCGGAAACCCAGCCGCCTTCTCCAGGACCTAGAAGTTCCAGTCCCAGCCTCCTCCCTCCCCCAGACCCAGGGGTCCGGACCCCCAGCTCTCCACGCTCTGAGAGAGGGCGGGTCCCGGGAACCTCGCTGAGCTCTGTGTTCTTCCAGGCCCAGATGGGGGAACCCCGGGCTGGGGCCCCCCTGGACGATGGCAGCGCCTGGACAGGAAGCGAGGAAGGAAGTGAGGAGGGCACCGGAGGCAGCGAGGGGGCTGGGGGAGACGGGGGTCCGGATGCAGAGGGTGTCTGGAGTCCAGACATCGAGCAGAGTTTCCAGGAGGCGCTGGCCATCTACCCACCCTGTGGCCGGCGGAAAATCATCCTGTCCGATGAAGGCAAGATGTATGGTGAGTCACCCGGGCCCCCTTTTGCCCTGGCCCCACTGATGAATAAAAGATAACAAGCAACATTTGTGGCTCCTGCATCCCCTCCCCCTGGCTGGCCTGGCCTGATTCGGCCCATCGGGCTGGGCAGGCCATACCCCACTTGTGCACGAATTCGTGCACCGGGACTCTAGTTGATTAATACAGGACAACAAGCAACGTTTATGGTGCTTTAAACACTGTTCGCATAAAAACACTTCATATCCTCACGAGGACTCGGGGAGGAGCTAGCATCCCATTTGCACAGATGAGGAAACTGAGGCCCAGAAAGGCCACGTGATTTGCCGAAGGCCACAAAGCTAGCGTGTGGCGGAGCTGGGATTTGAACCCAGGCAGTCTGGCGCCAAAACCTGCAGTTATAACTCGTCTTCCATGTGCTAGATCCTCCCTTCCTCCAGTCGGTGGACAGACGTAAACCCCACCTGTGGCCAGACATTCCTGAGCTCTGAACCACCCATCAGTACCTGCCAAGTACCCTGAGCCCCCGATTCCTAAGTCCCCTAGGTCCCTAATCACCAATCAGCATGTGCTGAGTGCCCTAAGCCCCATCCCCTATCCTCCCCTTAAAGGTGCTTGTACCCTGCCCCTCCCTCTCTCCCTCTCCCCCACCCCCTCTCTCTCAGCAGCTGGCAGGAGTACCCTTCCTTCCAATAAAGCCTGTGTCCTGCCAGCTGGGTCTCCGCATTTCTCTAATCTATCGCCATGTGGCAACCAGCTTGCTGCGGGCCTCTGGGGACTAGGGCTTCCCTTCCCTTCCCTTCCCTTCCCTTCCCTTCCCTTCCCTTCCCTTCCCTTCCCTTCCCTTCCCTTCCCTTCCCTTCCCTTCCCTTCCCTTCCCTTCCCTTCTCTTTCCTTCCCTTCCTTTCCCTTCCCTTCCCTTTTCTTCCCTTCCCTTCCCTTTCCTTCCCTTCCCTTTCCTTCCCTTCCCTTCCCTTCCCTTCCCTTCCCTTCCCTTCCCTTCCCTTCCCTTCCCTTTCCTTCCCTTCCTTTCCCTTCCCTTCCCTTCCCTTCCCTTCCCTTCCCTTCCCTTCCCTTCCCTTCTCTTTCCTTCCCTTCCTTTCCCTTCCCTTCCCTTCCCTTCCCTTCCCTTCCCTTCCCTTCCCTTCCCTTCCCTTCCCTTCCCTTCCCTTCCCTTCCCTTCCCTTCCCTTCCCTTCCCTTCCCTTCCCTTCCCTCCCCTTCCCTTCCCTTCCCTTCCCTTCCCTTCCCTTCCCTTCCCTTCCCTCCCCTTCCCTTCCCTTCCCTTCCCTTCCCTTCCCTTCCCTTCCCTTCCCTTCCCTTCCCTTTCCTTCTCTTTCCTTCCCTTCCTTTCCCTTCCCTTCCCTTCCCTTTCCTTCCCTTCCCTTCCCTTCCCTTCCCCGGAGACCTCCCCGTTGGGAAGTCCGGCTGCGGGGCTAACTCTGTTCCCCCTCTGACTCCTCAGGTCGGAATGAGCTGATTGCCCGTTACATCAAGCTGAGAACAGGGAAGACCCGCACTCGCAAACAGGTCTCAGGACGGACTCGTGGGGTGGGCTGGTCTCGTCAGGGCTGCCCTGGTATGGGCAGGTTCAGGTTTGAGGACGATGTGGTTCAGGTGCTTTTTAAAAATATATATATTTTATTGGTTTTTGCCGAAACCGGTTTGGCTCAATGAATAGAGCGTTGGCTTGGGGACTGAAAGGTCCCAGGTTTGATTCCGGTCAAGGGCATGTGCCTTGGTTGCGGGCATATCCCCAGTAGGGGGTGTGCAGGAGGCAGCTGATCGATGACTCTCTCTCATCGATGTTTCTAACTCTCTATCTCTCTCCCTTCCTCTCTGTACAAAATCAATAAAATATATTAATAAATAAATAAATATATATACATATATTTCATTGGTTTTTTACAGAGAGGAAGGGAGAGGGATAGAGAGTTAGAAACATCAATGAGAGAGAAACATCAACCAGCTGCCTCTTGCACACACACACACACACACACACACACACACCCCACTGGGGATATGCCCACAACCAAGGCACATGCCCTTGACCCGAATCGAACCTGGGACCTTTCAGTCCGCAGGCGGACGCTTTATCCACTGAGCCAATCCGGTCTCAGCGGTTCAGGTGCTTTTGTCTGTCTTCTCAGCTCAGGGTACTCTGTGCCTGTTTGGTACAGTCTCTTTGCAGTTGTGAAGGAGAGACTAAAGGAGCCAAAGAGGACAAGGAAGGGGAGGAGGAGCTGGATGTGCTGGGTCTGGGGAAGAAGTCTTAGCGACCAGAGTGGCCGTTCTGGTCGCACCCGTGTTAGCGTGCTCCTGAGACAGCCGGCGTGTTCTGCGTGTCCTCTCCCGGTCCCAGCAGCCCATGGGGCACCGGGAGGGAGGCACAGGGCAGGTGACTCTCGCCTGAATCTACTTCCTTGTCACTCCCTCCAGGTCTCTAGTCACATCCAGGTCTTGGCCCGAAGGAAATCGAGGGAAATCCAGTCCAAACTCAAGGTAGGGATCAAAGCAGACATCCTGAGAGGGGGGTGGGCCCGGAGAGAGGGAGGGGACAGGGACCCAGAAAGAGGGGACAGGAATTCAAAGGGTAATAGATCCAGAGAAGAAGGGACTGAGCTCTGAACCACCAATCAGCACCTGCCAAATACCCTAAGCCCCGATTCCTAAGTCTGGGTGACTCTATTCCCATTTCTTGGTCTCTGTCCCCACCCTACTCCCTGGGCAGAGCGGGCAGGCCACCGGGGAGGTGGGGTGGGGACAGAGACCAAGAAATGGGAATAGATTCACCCAGAAAGGTGAACAGAATGGGAGAGCAGAAACCGAATGTGGGGGTTAGTGGCTCAGCAGGAGGGGGTGGATGGGGACCAGGGGAAGATCCATAGAGGGACGGCACAGAGATCTCGCTTGGGACAGGCAAGAAGAATGGGGTGTCAGCCTCTCCGGCTACTGCTGCCTCCCGCCTCCCTCCTCTCCGCTCCTGTCCTCCCTCTGCTCTTCCTGGCGCACTCCTCGCCCTTCCCGCTGTGCTGGGAAGGCGTCCTGAGCCACCTCCCCGTTTCCGGTCCCCGGGTGGCCTGCCCGCTCTTCCTGTGCCCAGATCACTTCACATCCCTTTCCTCCCCTCCGTCCCCGGATTTCCGATCCCCTCCTGGCCACGGGCCCTCGTGTTCTGCTCCTCCTCCGAGGGGGTCTTTTTTGCCTCTGCTTCTGGGTTTGGGGACCATCACTTGCTATTCTTTGTTTGTACCCAGAAGCCTCTTTTTCCTTTCTCTCTGGGTCTAAACACCTTCTCTACTGTCTTTTCTTTCTATCTTTAAAAAAAAAAAATTAAAAAAAAATATATATATAAATTGATTTTTTTTTTTACAAAGAGGAAGGGAGAGGTAGAGAGAGTTAACATCAATCAGCTGCCTCCTGCACAACCCCTACTGGGAACATGCTTTTCTTTCTATCTTAAACACGTTTTAAAATTATTATTATTATTTTATTTATTTTTTTCTGATTTGAGAGAGCAAGAGAGAGAGGAGGAGAGAGAGACATCCATCAATTGCCTCCCAGGGTATGTGTCCTGACTGAGAATCAAACCGGTGACCTTTTGGTGCATGAACCACACTGGCCCAGTTCTCTTCTGGTCTTTTCTGGAGTTCGCTGCTCCCTCTGCCCTGTCCCAGCGAGGAAATGCTCACTGCCTATTCCTTCTGGGCTCTAAATTCTCATTTCCTGTTGCCTGCATATCCAGAAACCTTCACTTCCGGCTCTTTATTGACCTAGAAATCCTCATGACTATCTTTTTATTTATTTTTTAAAATATATTTTATTAATTTTTTACAGAGAGGAAGAGAGAGGGACAGAGAGTTAGAAACATCGATGAGAGAGAATCATCGATCAGCTGCCTCCTGCACACCCCCCACTGGGGATGTGCCCTCAACCAACGTACATGCTCTTGACCGGAATCGAACCCGGGACCTTTCAGTCAACAGGCCAACACCGTATCCACTGAGCCAGACTGGTTTCGGCGTGACTGTCTTTTATTCTGGGCACTGGGAACTTCTTTCCCCTCTAAGCCTGCCCTGCCCCGCCCCCCCCCCCCCCCCCCCCGTCCATTGTCATCCTCCATTTCGCTTTCCTCTCGTTGCTCTGCTCAGAGTGGTGGGCTACAGGGGTTGGCAGGGAGGCAAGGTCGGGTGCCCAGGCCTCACTTCCTAAATTCTATTTTCTTTCCTTCTTCGGCTCCATCCCCCACGGGCAGGCTCTGAATGTGGTAAGTCCCTCTGCCCGTCCTCCCACCCACTCCCTTACCCCCACATTCTTGCGGAGGGCAGGAGGGATGAGGGGTGGTAGTGAGAGGGATCTGAACCTTCCCCAACCCTTTACCATAACCTCCCATCTCTGAGCCTCCCCATGCTTATCCTGCCCCCCCCCCTGTCCCTGTCCCTACTCCCTGTGTCCACCAGAACCCCATTAACATGGCCCCCCACCTCTTCCTCCAGGACCAGGTGTCCAAGGATAAGGCTTTCCAGACCATGGCCACCATGTCCTCCGCCCAGCTCATCTCAGCACCTTCCCTGCAGGCCAAACTGGGCCCCGCTGGTCCTCAGGTGGCCTGGGTTGGGGACTTTGGGGTTCAAGGCTGGGGGATTGGGGGGTGTGGCTTCAACTGGGACTAACCGGCTGTCCCCCTTTGTCTCGTCTCCAGGCCTCTGAGCTTTTCCAGTTTTGGTCAGGGGGCTCTGGGACCCCCTGGAATGTTCCAGAGTGAGTACTCTCTGTCCTGCCCCAGCACCTGTCCCCCTCCTCCACCCTCTCCCAACAGGCCTTCCTCACCCCCCACCCGGCTCCCAGCTCCCTTGTGCACATCCATTCTGGAGCCGGGCTCTCTGGATTTGAGTCCCAGGCAGGAGGGCGAGGTGATGGTCTGAGAGGAAGACTAATCTGTGACGGGATAGTGAGGAGGGAAGGGGCAGGAGTCAGGAGGAGGAGGGGTGGTCCCCGCTGGCTGAGAAGGAGGGAGGAGGCAAGGACCGCGCCTGGGCTCCAGCTGGTGACTGGGGGTGGGTTGGGGGTGGGTGGGACTGTCCACAGATGTGCGACCTGTGCGAGGAATGGGTTTGGGGGAAAATGAGCTCAAGCATGACACTTGGTGAGTGTGAGAGGCCTGGGAGATGTCCATGGAGCCCGGCCGGCGTGGCTCAGTGGTTGAGCATCAACCTATGAACCAGGAGGTCACGGTTCGATTCCCAGTCAGGGCACGTGCCTGCCTGTGCTGGATCCCCAGTGTGGGGCATGCAGGAGACAGCCAATCATTGATTCTCTTTCATCATCGATGTTTCTATCTTTTTTCACTTCCTCTCTGAAATCAATAACAAAATATTTTTAAAACAGTTTTCAAAACTGTCCATGGGAATAATGGCCTTCTGGTCAGATTGGCTGGGCCCCAAAGGCTCATGGGAAAGGCAGTTGTAGGTTAAAAAACTCCAAAGAGGGTTGAGTGGAGCCCCAGAGTCTCATGGGAAGGCTGGTTCTCATTCCCCAGAGGTGGTTCTTGGGCCTGAACCGGGGTCCATCTCCCAGAATCAGAAGGAAGAACAAGGCCTCAGGGGTAAATTGGAGTGTCCCTTTTAGCTACGAGAGAGCCAGGAGGGTGACAGGATATGTTTCTAGCCTAGAAAAACAGAAATGGGCCCAGAGGCTCATGGGAAGTGTAGTTTCCAGCCAAGAAAGGAGCCAATGGTTCTAGGCTGGGTGTTGGGTGGGCCTCGGGACGGTGAGGCAGGAGTGTTGAGAGTATTGCCAAAGAGAGTCAAAGGACAGGCTGTGGGGTCCAGGCTAGAAAAGTTTCCGAGAGATGCTGCTGGATGGGGACATAGGAAGGGTCAGGACCAGTCCCCAGAGCCAAAGGGGAGGGGCTGATCTGAAAGGGGGTGTTCTGCGCTGGTCTCGAGGGTTCCTTAAAAAAAAAAAAAAAAAAAATATATATATATATATATATATATATATATATATATATATATATATATATATTATTGATTTTTTACAGAGAGGAAGAGAGAGGGATAGTTAGAAACATTGATGAGAGAGAATCATCGATCAACTGCCTCTTGCAAACACCCCCCCCCCCCCCCCCCGAGGATGTTCCCACAACCAAGGTACACGCCCTTGACCGGAATCGATCCTGGGACCCCTCAGTCCGCAGGCCGACGCTCTATCCACTGAGCCAAACCAGTCTCGGCAATGAGGGTTCCTCTTTTTATGGAGTTGACAGGACAGTCAAATCGAGGAGACGCATGCTAAGTAAATCATGTGCATAAACACACACTTGAAGAGTGTGAAGAACTGTAACAGGGCCTGGCCAACGTGGCTCAGTGGTTGAACTGAGAGGTCACAGTTCAATTCCCTGTCAGCGCACATGCCTAGGTGGTGGACTTAGTCCCCAGTAGGGGGCGTGCAGGAGGCAGCCATCAGTAATTCTCTCTCATCATTGATGTTTTTGTCTCTCCCTCTCCCTTCCTCTCTGAAACCAATAAAAATATTAAGAAAAAATTGAACGGCAAACAGGCTCTGGGGTGAGGGCGAGAGTTCCAGGGAGCTTCTCTGGGGAGGTAATGTGCAAAGCTGAGAAGGACTTTGTCAGCTGAAGAATGAGGGTGGGGATATTGGAGGCAGAGAAAACAGTATGTACCAAGGCCCTGTGGTAGGGAAGCGGTGAGTTTCAGGAACTGAGAGAAAGCCTTGGACCAGTCAGTCCAATGTTTACTGAGCAGTTATTAAGCGCCTGTTACTCGGCTTCAATTGGGGACACAGCATTGAACAAATTGAAGGCAGAATTCCTGCCTTCATGGGCTTATATACTTGGACAGACAATAAGCATGTAAACAGCTAAATAAGCATTAGTAAGAAAAGAATAAATGTGGGAAATAAAGCAGGGTGTCCATGCTCTATTTTTATTTATTTATTTATTTTGTATGTGCTCTATTTAGACAGAAGTCAAGCCGAAACCAGTTTGGCTCCGTGGTAGAGCGTCAGTCTGCGGACTGAAAGATTCCAGGTTCGATTCCGGTCAAGGGCATGTACCTTGGTTGCGGGCACATCCCCAGTGAGGGGTGTGCAAGAGGCAGCTGGTCGATGTTTCTCTCTCGTCGATGTTCCTAGCTCTCTATCCCTCTCTCCTCCTCTCTGTAAAAAAATCAATAAAACTTAATCCTCTAGACAGAAGTCAGGAAGGCCTCTGAGGAGGTGATATTTGGGCAGTGGCCTGATGACAAGAAATGAAGTCAGTGGGTTGGGTACTAGAGTTTAGATTTCAGAATTGGGATGGCAAATGGAAACCTTAGGGAGCCAAAGTCGGTAAATCCCTGAGAGTTTGTGTCTTTCTGATTTTTGTTGTTGGTTAATCCTCACCAGAGGATATTTTCCCTTTGATTTCTAGAGAGAGGGAAAGACGTGAGAGAAACATGTCTGTGGGTTGCCTCCTGCTTGAGCCCTGGCCAGGTCCCGGGCCGAAAGAAACCTGCAAACAAAGATACATGCTCGTGACTGGAATTGAATCCGAGACCCTTTGGTCCATAGTCCATCGCTCTATTCACTGAGCCAGACCGGCTAAGGATTTTTAAATATATTTATTTGTATTGATTTCAGAGAGGAAGGCGCAGGGTAAGCTTGTCCGGTCCCTCAGGAAAGGTAGCTGGTACGATTAGAATCCTTCCACCTGCTCACCCTCAGCTTCCTTTCTCCCTCAGCGTGAAGCCCTTCTCGCAGACACCGTTCCCCTTGTCACTGACGCCCCCATCTACTGACCTCCCAGGTAAGAGTCTGCTCTCCACCGTCCCTCCTCTCCTGCCCTTCTTGTCAACCCTCACTGCCTTCCCTTCAACCTTCCACCCATCAGGGTCACATTCCTACTGAGTCCAGCTCTGTGCGGAGGTGTGGAAGGATGTGACAAAATTTGTAGTGGTTAAGAGCAAGGCATCTGTTGCCACACACGCTGGGTTTGTGTCCTGCCACTTGCGAGCCTAGAGGACATAGGTGTTAGCCAAGATTCTTTCAGCTGCAAGTGACACAAACCCAAGTGAAGCTAGATGACAAAGACAGCAAGGACAACAACCAAACGGAATGTATTGGGTCAGGTAACTGATATTTCAGGGGTTTATGACTTCAGGTATGGCTAAATCTAGGGGCTCGAATGGGTAGCATCAGGACTTGCGTGGTTCTGCCTTCCTCTGGTGGCTTCATTCCCAGGCAGGCTCTGTCCCCATCCCTCTGGCAGCAAAGATGGCTTCCAGAAGTCCATGCTGATGCGGTGCTCACATTGATGAAAAATTACACTTAGGTTCCACAGATTCATCAATTTGGAATGCCTTAGGCTGCAAGTAACAATACCCAGATTGATAGTGCCATAAATAAAAAGGCTTTAATGATTCCACATAATGCAAAGTCTGAAGGTGGGCTGCTTCTGTGCTGGCTCAGCACCTCAGCAATATCAGGACTAGCATCTCTCTAGGTCCCTTGGCCTCTCTCTTACTGTCCCACGATGACTGTTGTGACTCCAGGCATCATGTCCCAAGCAGGACTTGACCAGAACCAAAAGCTTTCTCCTCCCAAAGTTCTGTCTTTTTCATTCAGGAAGAAACTCCTTCCCAGAAGCCCCCGAGCAGATTTCCCCTAACGTCTCATTGGCCAGGACTGTGTCACATGGCCACCTCTAGCTGCAAGGGAGGCTGGGAAAGTGAGTATTTAGCTTTTTCAGCTTCTAAGTGGAGGCAGGCAAGAGAGAACAGTGCTTGACATATTCCATCAATGTTAGCAATTTTTATTATTTGTTCTTCTTTCTCTAGGGTACGAGCCCCCCCAAGCCCTCTCACCCCCTGCCCTGCCCCCACCTGCCCCGTCACCCCCAGCCTGGCAGGCTCGGGCCCTGGGCACTGCCCGGTTACAGCTGGTGGAATTCTCGGCCTTTGTGGAACCCCCGGATGCAGTTGACTCTGTAAGTCCAATTTTGGGATGGTTGTTGTGGGTGTTTTGGAATGCAGAGGGTTATAGGAGGGAAAGCATAAAGCAGTGGTTCTCAAACTAGCATGTATCAGAATGACACGGAGGGCTTGTTAAAACACAGATTGCTGAGTCCCACCTTCAGAATATCTGATTCAGTAGGTATATATATATATATTATTTAGTGATTTCAGAGAGGAAGGGAGAAGGAGAGAGATGGGAATGTTAATGATGAGAGAGAATCATTGATTGGCGGCCTCCTGCACACCCCCCGCTGAGGATCCAGCCCATAACCTGGGCATATGCCCTGACTAGGAATCAAACTGTGACTTCCTGGCTCATAAGTCGACTCCCAACCATTGAGCTAAGCCAGCCAGGCAAAAATTTGAGTTTTTAGAAAGCTCCCAGGTGATGTTGATGCTGCTGGGACCACATTTTGACAACTCTTAACATAAAGGAATAGGAAGGTCATGAAGTTGTGAGTTGGGAAGGTCAGAGAAACTCTCTAGGACATCATTTATTCATTCATCAAATGCTTCTGAGTGTCTAGTGTGCACCAGGCTTTGCGGTGGATACTGGGAACTTGGGAAAGCAGATCTTGTTTCTGGGCTTGAGCTTTGCCTGGTCTAGGTTGGAGACAGATGCCATTATTAGTCTGGGCAACACCCAGAAACATCCTAGAAGGTTCTCATGTAACATTTCAGTGTGGGTGTTCAACAGCAGCCTTCCACATAGCGGTTCGAGGAATCCAGGCTTTTTCCATTTTTGTGGCTCTGCCATTTTCTAGGGCTCCAGAATTTGCTGCTGGGTTCTCTGCATCTGGCTGGCAGATGGTGGAAGGGAAAGGGTGAGGAGGCTATATGGGTCTGGCTTGGAAGTGACAACTATCAGGTTTGCCCCCATCCCATTGGCCAGAACTTAGTCATGTGATCACATATAACTGCAGAGGAGTCTGGGAAATGTAGTTTAGCGGTGTGAAAAGGGACTAGTGTTTGTGAACACATCGCCTCTGTCACAGCCACATAAACACCAGTTACTGGACATAGTGGTTTTGGTAAAACCCAAGTCAAATCGGGTTAAAACGCTCCTATCTCCCTTGGAGCAAAAGCTGAAGTCCTTTTAGTTGCCCACAAAGTTGTGAACCATCTGAGCCGCAGCCCTGCTCTGCCCTTACCTCCTGCATCTGAACCTTGTTTGCTCAGCTCTGCCCACACTGGCCTCCATGCTCTCTCTCAAACACGCCAGCCCACTCCTGCTCCAGGGCCTTTGCGTCTGCTGCTCCTGCCACCTGGAATGTGCTTTCCCCAGGTATCCCCATTCCGTCCCTCTGTTCATTCAGGTTCCTGCTTGATTATCTTCTTCTTCTTCTTCTTCTTCTTTTTTTTTTTTTTTTTTTAATATTTTATTGATTTTTCACAGAGAGGAAGAGAGAGGGATAGAGAGTTAGAAAGATCGATGAGAGAGAATCATCGATCAGCTGCCTCTTGCACACCTCCTACTGGGGATGTGCCCGAAACCAAGGTACATGCCCCTGACCGGAATCGAACCCGTGACCTTTCATTCCTCAGGCCGACGCTCTATCCACTGAGCCAAACCGGTCCCGGCTGATTATCTTCTCAAAACGCCCTATGGAGCCGAGACCGGTTTGGCTCAGTGGATAGAGCGTCGGCCTGCGGACTGGAGGGTCCCAGGTTCGATTCCGGTCAAGGGCATGTACCTTGGTTGCGGGCACATCCCCAGTGTGTGTGGGGGGTGTAGGAGGCGGCTGATCGATGTTACTAACTCTATCCCTCTCTCTTCCCCTCTGTAAAAGACCAATAAAATATATTTTAAAAAAAACAAACAAACAAACAAACCAAAATGTCCAATGGGATATACTAACTGCTGTCACTCCCCACTCCCTCACTGTGCTTTATTAGGATTTTTTTCATGGTGTGCGTGACTCTCTAAAATTTATATTGTCCAGAAGATGATTTGAAATTTGTTCTGTCTCTGCCAGTAGACGGTGAGCGCCTTTACCTTGTAGCCCTGGGACCCGGAGAAGTACCTGGGTACTGCACACAGATTCTCAGTAGATGTCTGAGTGTGTACTCAGATGGGGGGAGCTCAGCTTTTGTGGGTGTACGGAGGAGTGATTCTGACTGGAGAGTCAGGGCTTCCCTGAAATGACAGCTTTTGAGTTGGGCTTTGCGGGTTACATAGGAGTTTGCCATGTGCAGAACTGGGTGCTTCAGGTACAGAGGCGGAATCAACATTGAGGCTGTCAGAGACACAACATAATGAACATGGCGGGAAGCTGGTGAGGCTGTGGGTGTTTGGGAGGAGCTGGCATTGCCAAGCTCAGGGACCCAGGTTTCCTCCTGGCGATGGGGAACCTGGAGGTGGCAGAGAGATTCACCTGTTTGTGATCAGTGGAGGCTTCTGGAAGAGGCAGATTTGGATGACCTGGAAAGAGGGAGGAGGACTTGTGTCAGAAGAAAAAATGGGGAAGATTTCAGGATGAGGATAAGAATGGGAACAGAGCCATCCACCCATCCATCCACTGATGGAACGTTTATGAACAGCTATTCAAACCATGGCCAGCTTGAGGGGTGTGGTCTTTGCCCTGGGGGTGCTGGGGAGCCTTGGGCAAATTATGAGCAGGGGAGGTCAAGGGTCAGCTCTGGAGCCATCTGACTGGTGAGCTGGGGAGGAGAGGTTGGAGGCTGAGAGGCCAGGCCGGAGGCTGGGGTGAAAGTGGGAGAGGACAGGGCTATGAGGGGAGAGCAGGGGACAGGGCGGAGAGTCGGGCAGTAGGGACGGGGCGTGGGGCCTGAGGCACTATGGGAAGGAAGGGGCAGAAGGGAGTGGAGACATGCCTGGGAGTTGGGCCCAGTGTCTGGGTGGACAGGAAGGACCCGCTGGCAGGGGCCCTCGGGGTGGCGACAGGGGTGTGGGATGGGCTTCGGCAGCGCGGGCCGGGGTCCAGCCCATCTCCCACCCTCACCGATGGCTGCTCCTCCCCAGTACCAGAGGCACCTGTTCGTACACATCAGCCAGCACTGCCCGAGCCCCGGGGCGCCGCCGCTGGAGAGCGTGGATGTCCGGCAGATCTACGACAAGTTCCCCGAGAAGAAGGGGGGTCTGCGGGAGCTGTACGACCGTGGACCCCCTCACGCCTTCTTCCTGGTCAAGTTCTGGGTGAGTTCCGCGTCCAAAACAAACGTGCTCATAAGCCCCATGGCCGCCCGGCCCAGGCCTCCGGCTCCCCCAGGTCAGCCTGGGCCTTGCCACTCCTCATGCTGAGTGTCGGCCCCCTTTGCAGACAGGAGCACAGGGAGTTTGGCCCTCAGGGCGGGGTGCATGGGACCCCTGCAGGCGTAGGAATAGGACCCCTGCCCCCAGACCCCACTAGATGTCGCCACACCAAGCCGTGTGACTGATCCAGCCCTTGGGATTGGGTTGTGTCGTTTCATCCCTACATCCCTGTTGCTAAGGAATGGCCCTTCTCCCCTCAGCACACAAAGTCTTGGCTAATGTTGGTCTCTTAAAGGGGATGCTGCCTTCCACCAGACCCTGTTGTTAGACAATGTCTGGCCTTGAGGGTGACATTGAAGGAGCTGTGTGTGTGTGTGTGTGTGTGTGTGTGTGATTTGTAAAAATCTGTATTTACCGAACAGTCATTTGTTGAGCACTTACTGTGTACAAAGCCCTGTGCCAGGCCCGATATACATAACTGTGGGTCTTTCTTAGGCCTTTTCGGTTTGGTGTCCAGTACAGTGGCTGATGCTATATGGCAGTGTTTCCCAAACTTTTGACATATGTGTACCCCTTCTATAATTTTCGTAACGCTGAGTTCCCCTCGTCCTCATGAGAACGTAGAATTAGGCGCAGCTAAGCACGGTGCAGTGCACATCCCCACCAAACTCCGGTGCAACGCGTACCCCCACCCAACTCTCCCCGTTCCCCCGGGGGTACGCGTACCGCACTTTGGGAAACACTGCTATAGAGGTTCAATACATGTGAATGTTTGCGTGTGGGGGTTAACTCTCGTGGTAACCAGGGCAGTGGAGGGATCTAGTCTCTGAGAAGGAAGCCTTGTAAGGGGCTTGAAGTTTGCTGGCCTTGCTGGACCCGTAGCGTCTGCGGTTACCAAGAGTTCTAGCGTGTGGCGTGGAGGCCCGAGACGGCATGGGGGTGTGCTGCTGGGGTCCGTAGGCGTTGCTGGGGCTGGAGACGGGCCGCGCCAGGTGCCGGGCGTGGAGAGTGACCCTTAGGGGCCAGCATCGGAAGGGCCCAGGGAGAGGCTGGAGAGGACTCAGTATCTGTCTGGCTTCGCCAGGCCCAGGTGCGAGGGGGATGGGTGGAGTCAGGCCTCGGAGGACAGGACCTGGCTCAGCTGGTAACTCAGGTTAGGACGAGGAGGAGGCCTGCCTCCAGGGAAGGTGAGGAGGTGACCCAGGGGCTCAGGCCGAAGGTGACACGAGGTCTCAGACCCCCGCCTGGCATAACGATCGTCTGCTCACGTGGCCCCTGGGACGTGAGGGGTCCGACCTCTGAGAACCAGCGGGAAGAGCCCGGGAGGGTGGTCCGAAGAGGAGCCAGGCCCCTTTGCAAGGAAGTAGCCCATCGTCTTAGCAACCAGGGTTGCCAAGGGCTCTGAGGAAGAGCCTCTGGTTGCTAGGCAATAACTCCCTCCTTAGTAACCAGGCCCTTGGAGGAGGCTGAGTTGGGGGCTTCAGGAGCAAACCTGTTGACTAGCAGGGCCCCTTGGGCTGGGGGCTCTGGGGAGAGAGGGGTCAGGATCATTTTGGGGATCCAGGCTTCTGAAGCACTGCTGGGAGGGAGGGTCTTCAGAAGCCGGCTCTTGGGAGAGGGGGGTGGCGACTCTGAGCTCTGAGGAAGGGAGGTGGGCAGCTACGGGGCAAATGGAAGAAACCAGGCCATGGGTTCCTTCTAACAGAGTTCCTGGGTTACAAGCGTCTCCATCGTTTACTCATTCATTCATTTATTTAATTAATATATTTTATTGATTTTTCACTAGAGAGGAAGGAAGAGGGATAGAGAGCTAGAAACATTGATGAAAGAGAAACATCGAGCAGCTGCCTCCTGCACACCTTCCCACCGGGGATGTGCCCACAACCAATGTACATGCCCTTGACCGGAATCGAACCCGGGACCCTTCAGTCCGCAGACCGACGCTCTATCCACTGAGCCAAACCGGTTTCGGCCATTTATTCATTTATTTAAAAATATTTTTTTAATTGATTTTAGAAAGGAAGGGATAGGGAGATAGAAACATCAGTGATGAGCCCTAGCTGGTTTGGCTCAGTGGCTAGAGCGTTGGTCTGCGGACTAAAGGGTCCCAGGTTTGATTCCGGTCAAGGGCACATGCCTGTTTGCTGTTGGCTCGGTCCCCAGTGGGGGGCGTGCAGGAGGCAGCCAATCAATGATCATTGATGTTTTTAGCTCTCTCTCTCTCCCTCTCCCTTCCTCTCTGAAATCAATAAAAAGAGAAAAGAAGAAAAGAAACATCAATGATGAGAGAGAATCATTGATCGGCTGCCTCCTGCACGCCCCCCACTGGGGATGGAGCCCGCAACCCGGACATGTGCCCTGACTGGGAATCGAGCTGTGTCCTCCTGGTTCATAGGTCACCGCTCAACCACTGAGCCACCCCGGCCGGGCCGAGTCTCCACCATTTATTCGTGCTAGGGACTTCTATTAAGGGCTGTCTCCTCCAACTCAGCCTGTGTCTCCCCACCCCCCAGGCGGACCTGAACTGGGGCCCGAGTGGTGAGGAGGTGGGGGCCGCGGGCAGCAGCGGAGGCTTCTATGGCGTGAGCAGCCAGTACGAGAGCCTGGAGCACATGACCCTCACCTGCTCCTCCAAGGTCTGCTCCTTCGGCAAGCAGGTGGTGGAGAAAGTGGAGGTGAGGCCGGGGGGTGAGCACCCGGGCCCCTGGCAGTCTGGGGGTGCAGATCTAAAGTCACGTGCAAGGGTCACTTTGAGGGCTCAAAGGTCACGTGTGAGACAGATGCACAGTCCCTGAGATGCAGAAGATTCCTGGGAATCTGGAAGCGTCCACAGGGCTGCCGAGGACTTGCTGGGCCTCCGTTTCCAAGCGTATAGAGTTTGGGGATCTCACGGAGGGGCCTGGAGGGCCTGAGGGCACCAGAGGTCAGAGGAGTTCAGAGGTCACGGAGGATTCAGACAGAGCCTGGCTTTGAGGGGCCGGGGGTGTGTCTGGGTTGCAGGCTCAGGGGTCCTGAGTTGGATACCTGAGGGTTCAGGCCTGTCTCCCGTCCCTGCAGGCGAGGCAGCAGGAGGGGGAAGATGGCAGTTTTTGGGGGGGTGGGGGTGGGGGTGGCATCCGAGAGGCGCAGCGTGGGGCTGGGCTCCTGGGGGGACCCCTGTGTGTCTCAGTCACCGTCCCCCCCACGCCCCCACCCCCCACCCCGGCGCAGACGGAGCGCCCCCAGTTGGAGGACGGGAGGTTCGTGTACCGCCTGCTGCGCTCGCCCATGTGCGAGTACCTGGTGAACTTCCTGCACAAGCTGCGGCAGCTGCCTGAGCGTTACATGATGAACAGCGTGCTGGAGAACTTCACCATCCTCCAGGTGAGGCTTGAGGTTTTGGGGGGGCCCAGTGTGGAGGGCAGGCCCACCACAGCCCCTCGGCCCCAGACCCGCTCACCCGGGAACTGACCCAGTGGGGCCCCTGCAGCTGACCCGGGGCTTAGGGGATCCCGTTACCCTGGGACCTGATAGGGTGGGGACTCCCCAGCATTCTCATGAGGGAGGGACCCCATTCCCTGGGGGGCTGACCTGGAGGATTCGTGGTGGGTCCTCGGCTAAGGGGACCTCACCCTAGTCCAGGAAACACGATTTGGTGGGGTTCCCTTTGCCTCTGGGGAACGTGCTGAGCGGGGAGACCTTGCACGAGGGGAACGTGATGCGGGGACGTCCTGGGCCCGGGAACACGTGATCCACCGTCTGATGCGAGGCCCTTCGCGGGCGTGTTGAGCAGCCCCTCTGCCTGGGACCCGTGACATGATGGGGACCTCCTCCTGGGGCCCCCGATGACCGAGGGAGGCACAGGGGGCCCTTCTAAGCAAAACGCCGTTTCCACCCCCCCCCCCCCCCCCCGGCAGGTGGTGACAAACCGAGACACGCAGGAGCTGCTGCTCTGCACGGCCTACGTCTTCGAGGTCTCCACCAGCGAGCGGGGCGCCCAGCACCACATCTACCGCCTGGTCAGGGACTGAAGCGGGGACCCCGAAAGTGGCTCACCCCCAGGAAGGACCTCCAGCTTGCCTCAGCCCCCCGGGGAGAGGGGGCTGCTCCTGTCGGAGGGAGCCTTGCAGGCCGGGCGGCAGAGAGGAAGGGACGGATCCTGACGCTGGGACCTCATGGGGCTGTGGGAGGGCAGTCACTCCGGAAGGGTCTGGCCTCTGTCTCTACTGGGGGCCCCCACCCCGCTGTGTCTGGGTGTTTGGGGGAGCCCTACTTGCATATTGGCTTGTCCTCTCTTTGTTTTTCCAACCCCCCCCTTTTCCTAGTCTGCCTCCCCTATCACCCCCACACCCTGTGACCCCAAATCAAGTATTGAAGGTTAACCCTTTCTGTGCAGGGCCAGGTGGGTCCTGGAATTTAATTTTTTTTTTAATATAACAGATATTTATAAGTGGGTGTTAGGGTCGTGACTTTTTTCTCAGCTGGGCAAGCACTGGGGGGAAGGGGGGGAGCTTTTTAATGTCTCCCCTCTTGTACCTGAGCCAGGGCTGGCCTGTCTCATTCACCACCACCCCCTCCCGCCCCCAAATTGTGTTGGTTTGTGTTTTGACAGAGGATAAAAGCTATTTTTTACCAAAACGTAGGGGGTTTATTTGAAGTTTGAGTGAGAAATAATAACCTTGTGGGCGATGGTAGACTGACAAATGAGTCACCGAAATGAGGTATCTTTGGGGACCGGAAGTTGGTGGTGGGAAACCCCAAGTCCCACAAGAGAGGTGACAGCAGTGGGGCAGGCAGACACCTGGGGGGGGATGGGGGGCGGAGAGGGGAGGAGGAGGAGGCTGGGGGGCTCAGTGCCTGGGGAGAACTGGGGTTTAAACAAATATTTGCAGGCCACAGGGAGGTAAGGGGGCGGGGCACTGGGAAGGTTGGGGGCGGGGCTTCGGGGAGGGCGGGGCCTATCGGTACCGGGCGAGCCTGTCGTAGACGTGGTCCAGGTTTCTGCACAGGAATATGGAGAGCGTCATGAAGCTGAGCTACAGAGAGAGGAGACGCTATCAGGGAGGTCGAGGCGGGTGGCCATGAGAGGAAGATGAGGTGGCGGGGGCTCTGAGGGCGGAAAGCCAGGGGGCGGGGCCCGAAAAGGAAATGAGACACAGAGTTGGGCAGGGCGGGGCTAGAGGGAGCACCGGACCTGGTTGTGAAAGATGGGGTCCAGGAAGGGAGTTTGGGGGAAGATAAGGAAAGTGGGGGATGGTGGAGTTAAGGGTAAAATAATAAAAAGGGCAGGAGGTCGCGGGATAGGTCACCGAGGACGCGGGCCGGCCGGGAGGTGGGGGTGGTTTGGGGGAGGAGGAACCAGCTGCAGGTCTGAGGTCTGGGAAGTAGAGAGATCTGGAGCCAGCCCAGGGTCCTTTATTCCGGAGGCCCATCCCGCTTCCCCGCCGCCTCCGCCTCCTTGGCCGCCACCTCTGCGCCCGCGCTCTGGGTCTCGGGCTGCTCCTCGTCTTGTTCCCACGGCGGCCAGGGCCCCAGGGCCATGGGCAGCTTGCCCTGCGGGGCCTTGTCCCCCCAGTTGGGGCAAGCATCCGCCATGCCCTGGCCACCCCACACACCGCCGCTCCGCCCGCTGCTGCTCTGCACGCCGCCTCGCCCGGAGCCGCCAGCGGCGCTCAGGCCCGGCTCTGGGCGCGAACCCTCGGCGCCCGGCGCCTGCGGCTGGGTGTTCCGGCCGCTGGCGCTGCGTGGCATGAGCAGGCTCAGCCCCGCCACACTCACCTGCCGGGAAAGGGGAGGAATATTGCGGACAAAAAAGGGAGGCCCGCGATGCCTCCCAGGGCGCCAGCGATCCGCTGGGTCTCAGGCCCAGGCGCGGCGGCAGGAAAGGAGGAATGGGCTGCGCGCCCTTTGGGGTGCGGCTACCTGGGGCGGCACCGCCCATCGGGAGGGAGGCTGGGGCCCGGTTACCTCGAGCAGGCCGACGCCCAGGCAGATGCCCACGATGGAGATGAGGTTGTTGTGCAGCCACTTCTGCAGGCTCCGCGCGCAGCCCTGGGAGAGCGGAGAGAGGTTAAGAGGCAGGGCTTTCTCTGGGGTTCGCTCTCGCGCCCCTGTTCCCTAGTTACCGGGCTTTGCTCTAATCTCTTCGCTCAAAACAAACCTACCCCTTCCCAGGCATTAGTGGTCCAAGTCCTCCCCTCCTCCTTAGGCCTCGCCTTCCCAAGAACCCGCCCCCCCCCTTTAAAAATATATATATATATTTTATTGATTGATTATTATTTTATTTTATTTTTTTACAGAGAGGAAGGGTGAGGGATAGGGAGTTAGAAACACCGACCAGCTGCCGCCTACTGGGATTGCACACCTCCTACTGGGGTTGTGCCCGCAACCAAGGTCCATGCCCTTGAGCGGAATCGAACCCGGAACCACTCAGTCTGCTGGCCGGTGCTCTATCCACTGAGCTGAACCGGTTCTGGCAAGAACCCGTCCCTTATGGGGCTTCGCCGCTCAGGCTGCACTGTTATTTCTCGGAGCCCCACCCCGCCTTCAGACCCCGCCCCCACGGTGTGGTCCCTCCTCCCCCAGCCCCTACCTCGCCGTAGGTGAGTCTGGTTTTGGGGTCGGCGGCGCACAGGGCCGCGCTATGCCTGGGCCGCGCCAGGGTCCCGCCCCGGCTGAGCTGGGAGAGGGAGGCCATGTCGGGGATGGCCGAGTCGTTGGTCGCCGACGAGTTGTTGCAGGAGCAGGGCACGCGGAACTCGGACGCGTTGTTGCTCAGGCTGGGGACCTGGGACCAGTCCTGGGGAGAGTGCCAGCCGCAGCAGCGCAGCTGGGAGAGGGGCAGGGTCAGAGGGGCCCGACGGGAGGAGGCAGGATGATTTGGGGTGAGATCAGGGGACCGGTGATTGGTATGAGGTCAAGTTGGGAGCAGAGGGGCCGAGCGATGGTGCAGGGTGGGTGCGGTGGGCTGGGGTCAAGGGGACACTAGGGGAACATGGGGCTGGGAGAGACGAATCACGGGGCGACCTGGGGCTAGGGGAGAAGCTGCACAATCACGCCGTGGACCGGAAGTCGGGTGGGCGGTGCGTCCAGACTTGGGGAGCAGGTGGATGGGATGGGAAGGCGCGGTCACAGAGTGGCCAGAGAACCGAGTCTCACGTGGGACCCAGAGTCACTAGGAACAGGGACTGGGGTCACGCTGGGGCCTTGGGGGTGAGGGCGGGTCCCGCTGGGGCAGAGGGCGGAGCCTTTCCGGGGTCTGGATGGGGCTGGGAAGCTGGGCAATCATGGGGCCAGTTATGTTATCATCTGAGGGCGGGGCCCTGCGGGCGGGGCGGGAGCGGGGTGCGCAGGCTGGGTTGCATTGGGGCAGAGTCTCCCCCGGGTAGCGGGGCGGGAGTGGGGTGGGGAGTGGGGTGCGCAGGCTGGGTTGCATTGGGGCAGAGGCTCCCCCGGGTAGCGGGCGGGCATGGGGCTCACGCACCTGGAACTGCACGTAGTCCCAGCTCTCCTCGGCCGCGGACCTCTCCGGGTCCGAGTGGTAGTTCTGGATCGTCTCCAGCACGAAGTCCTTCACCTTCCGCTCCAGCTGAGAGGAGGCCGAGAATGAGGCGCGACCCCCACCTGCCTCCCCCCACCACCCCCACCCCGCATCGGCGCCCACCCAAGGGGTTCTTCACCCAATGGCTGGCTACCCGTGTCTCTTCCTCAAAACCTTTCTCTGCCGTTTCCTACCGTCCCTCTGCTTCTCTCATCACTTCCCGCGACTTCTCACGCAGTCCCTGTGTCCTCTGCGGGCCTCTGTTTCTCTCTGCTGCTTCCCTCTGGATCTCTCTCCTCTTCCGTCCGAGCGGGTCTCTGCCTCTCCCTGTCTCTATCTCTCTGTGTCTCCCTCAGCGTCTGTATTTGTTCTGTCCTCCTGTCTGTTTCTCTCTTCTGCTTCTCTGTTATTTGTCTGTCAGTCCCTGTCTGCCTCCAAGTCCACCCACTAGCTGGGTAAGGGGTGATGTGGGAGGGGTGAGGGGGGAGCAGGCAAGCTTACCAGGGTCTTCTGAGTGGAGATGAGGATCCCCAGGGTGATCTGGGTGGCGAAAAGGAGCAGCAGCATCCCGAAGTACTGGGGGGCAGAGCGGAGCACTCAGGCCGAGCCCTGCCCTGGGAAGGGGGGAGTGGTCCTGGGGATGGATGGAGGGGGGTGGGCACTCACCAGGCCCAGGAGGCAGCGGAGCTCCTTGAGGGCCCCCACGCAGCCCAGGAGGGCCAGGCCCATGGTGAGGACCCCCGAGACGGCCAGCGCTTTGGACCAGATCTGCAGCGGCATGAAGGACAAGCCTGGGGGTGGCGAGACGGGGATGCTGAGTCTTCTGGGAGCGGTGCCAGGCTGCCCCCCGGCCCGTTCCCTGCCTGCAGTGTCCTGGGGGCTTCTTTCTGGGCTCTGGGGCACCCCCTTCTCTGGGCCTCTGACCCTACCCACCCTGAGCCTCTGCCCTCTCTTCCGGATTCTCTTCTCCCTCTCTTAAGTCTCTGTCTTTCTGCTTCCTTTCAGCTCTCGGTCTCTCTCCTCCTCCAGCTCCTTCTCACTCCCAGTGGTTTCAGCCCCATCCCTTGTTCTGCCAACATCGGATGAGTCACTTTCACCTCCCTGAGGCCTAGGGGAGATGCTATCTATTTCCTGGGGTGGCTTTGAGGGACCTGGGAGGGATGCGCTCAATCCAGTCCTCAACACAGTGCAAACACATGAAATAGGAACCATCGGGAGTTTGGCTATTACCCCATTATTTTCCTATTATTATTGTTTTTAAAAATATATATTTTATTGATTTTTCACAGAGAGGAAGGGAGAGGGATAGAGAGTTTGAAACACTGATGAGAGAGAAACATTGACCAGCCCCCTCCTGCAAACCTCCCACCGGGGATGTGCCCGCATCCAAGGCACATGCCCCCGACCGGAATCGAACCTGGGACCTCTCAGTCCACAGAGCGACACTCTATCCACTGAACCGAACCGGTTTCGGCTATTTTCCTATTATTACTGTTGTTGTTGTTGTTGTTGTTATATCTAGGTTACTTCCTTGCTGTATGACATCCAGTATGTGCAAGGGGACCCCATCCCCCTCTCTGAATCTCAGGAAAGGCTATGGGGAGGGTCTGATGGGCATTTGCACAAGGTCTGACACATAGGAAGTGCCCAAGAAATGACTGTTACCGTTCTTAGTGCTACGCACACCCCTTTGTCCTGAGGCCTGGAGAGGCGTGGCAGCGGCAGGCTGTGCAGAGCCTGGGAGCTGCCTGCGGAATTGGTCACCAGCGGGGGGCTCCAGGGGCAAGGGAGACCCAGGAGGCTACTTGCTGGGAGGTTGGGTCCATGCTGTTCCGGGGTGGCCCTCCCCGCCTGCCCTGCCCCCTCACCCACAAAGGACACGAAGCTGGTCTTGTCCACGAGTATCCAGATCCCGAAGCAGAAAATCAGGCTGCCCAGGACCTTGGGGGAGGAGAGGAGAGGAGAGGAGAATATGGGGGTGGGCAAGTAGGGATACGAGGTGGGGTGGGCTGGGGTGGCAAGGGCAGGGCCTGGGGCCCAGGCTGGATAGCCGTGAGACAACTTACGAAAAAGAAGAGGTTGAAAACGAAGAGGAGGTACTTGATGAGGCTGAGGCAGCTGTTCTGGGCCGCCATCGTCGAATGGAGGGGTGAGTGACCAGAAGAGGGTTGGCAGTGGGGAAACGGGGAGACAGAAGCCGTGAACGGAGGAGGAGAGGCCGAGACAGACAGAAAGGAAGGACCCAGAGAAAGAGGAAGTGCCAGGGGTGGAGCCTCACCCTCTGCCTCTACGCACAAGGTGGTTTTTTATTCTGTCTCCGTCCCTGGCTCCCGCCCCCGCCCCCTGGGACACACCCTCCAGTACCTGAGGGGCCTTGGAATTTGTGGTCACCAAGGACACGCTGGGCCCTTCCTCCCAGGGGTCCATGGCTCAGGGACTCCTCATCCACTTGTACCCACTTACTCTGGGCACCAGGCCTCCAGGCTGGCCCCGGACAGCAGCCGACCTCACAGACACTCTGACCTCACTGCCTGCTGGGCTCTGCCATCTCTGCATCCATCTCTGTCCCCACTTCCCAGTCTCAGGTCCCTCATCCTTCCCTCTCTGGGTCTGTTTCCTTCTCGCTGAGTCTTTTTATTTGTATGTCCCCCTCCCCCCTTTGTGTGTGTGTGTGTGTGTGTGTGTGTGTGTGTGTGTGTATTTCTCTCTGGGTGATATATATATATATATATATATATATATATATATATATATATATTTCAGAGAGGGAGAGATAGAAACATCAATGATGAGAGAGAACCACTCTTTGCCCCATCATCTCCCACTGAGGATGGAGCCCTGACCAGGAATCAAACTGTATATAGGCAGATGCTCAACCACTGAGCCACGCCGGTGTGGCTCTCTCTGAGACTTAGTCTTTCTCTGAATGTCTGTCCCCCTCACTCTGGGTTTCTTGCTCCCCCAACCTCGGAGTCTCTATCCTCTCCCTCTTGTCTCTGCACGGCTGTCCTTTCTCTACTGAGCACTCTCCCCGCTTCTGTCGCTGCCCCTTTCTCAGAGGCTGCATCCTGTTTTTGGCAACAAGTGTAGAGCAGGTGCACCCCTGTGCTGGGGCAGAGCTGGGCACTTGGGGGAAGTGAAAGTGTCGCCGGCCCCAATGGGAAGGTCCCTGGGAGCCAGAGGGGTGGCTGGGCAGTGCCAAACACCCGAGCGGAGCGGAAGCTGAGCCTCAGGCAGCGCTTCCTGCCTCTGCAGGGGGGCCCCTAGAGGAGGAGGCCCCAGAGGAGCCAGGGCGGAGCCTGGGACTCGGGCAGTTGGATTCAGGACCTGCTCTCTCTCTCGACCTGGGCTGCATACTTACTTAGCAGCCTCTGAAGTCTCCCCAGACACCCCACAGGCTCCCCTAAATCTCACAGATTTCCATCGTAAAGCAGGGATGTCACCAAACTTAAAATAATGAACAGGTTCACCATCTCCTATGGTCTGTGTGTCTGGTGAGAACACTGAAGATCTACTTTTAGCAACTTTCCAGTATACGATATACAGTACTATCTATAATAATGAAAGCATAATATGCAAATTAGACCGGACAGCTGAATGACCTTCCGGATGAAGTCGGGGCTGTGAGGGCCCATCCCCTTGCACAAATTACGTGCTTCAGGCCTCCAGTGAAGTATAAGCACCATGCTATAAGTTAGATCAGTGTTTCCCAAAGTGTGGTCCACGTACCCCCAGGGGCACGGGGAGAGTTTGGTGGGGGTACGCGTTGCACCGGAGTTTGGGGGGGATGTGCACTGCACCGGGCTTAGCTGCGCCTAATTCTACGTTCTCATGAGTACGAGGGGTAACTCAGCGTTACGAAAATTATAGAAGGGGTACACGTATGTCAACTGTTAGATCCTTAGAATTTATTCTTCTTAACTGAAAGTTTATATCCTTTGACTTACATCTCCCCATTTCCAGACCCTGGCAACCACCATTCCACTCTGTCACTATTATTAAAAATTAAATTTTTTTCACACATAAATGACGTTTCCTCCTTTTTATTAATCCTTACCTGAGGATATTTTCCCACTGTTTTTCAGAGGGAGTCAAGGGAGGGAGAGAGGGAGACGCACACACACACACAACACACACACACACACAGTTGGGTTGCCTACCTCCCAGAACCCACAACCCAGGCACCTGCCCTTGACAGGAAATTGAACCTGTGATCCTTGGGGTGCGGCTGATGTTCTAGTCTTTTCCTGTCTAATTTCACCTAGTATAATGCCTTCCAGTTCCATCCATTCCGCAAAGGGTAGGATTTCCTTTTTTACGGCTGAATAATACTCCCTTCCTAGTGTGTTGTGTGTGTGTGTGGGGGGGGAGGGGGCGGCCATGGCCCATAAGCAGCAAGAGAAGCTCAAGCGCATGCGTGGGCGGCGAAGATGGAGGGCCCGTGCGTGAGTGCGTAAGTGCGTGCACGGAGGGAGTTGAAAAGGGCGGGAGGGGGAGGGAGGTGGCACCATTGGCTGTTAGTCACGTGGGAGTCTCCGATGAGAGGCGGGGCCAGGAGAGCGCGCGCATGCGCAGAGGAACTGCGGTGCCGCGTGGAGCGAGCCGGCCTCGAGGCGTGAAGGGGCCGAGAGCGTCGCTGGGCTTCTCAGTTGGGGCTTCTCGATCCTCGTTGTCGCTTAACTGACGGGACCGAAGTGGCCGGGCCGCAGGGCCAGGGTGAGGACGACTTGGCCCTCGGGAGCCCAGAAACGCTCGTAGATGTGGGGGTGCGGGGCCGGTCCTCCCCCCCCCTCCCCGGGGTGTAACAGGCCGGGCCTCCTGGCCGCCCCGCGTCTGCGGAACTGAACTGAGGGATCAGAGGGGCCTCAGAGGCCCCGCTGTTTCCTCCCTCGGAGCCCAGAAAGCTGGCTTTCGCCCCTTTGCTCGTCGAGTCTGGCTTGGAGCGATGCCGAGGCCTGGCCCTCACAGGCCTCGGCCACCAGGCCTGCCCACGGGTGGAAGCCAGGGGTTCAAGTTCCCAGACAGGGGGGGCCAACCCCGTCACAGGCCTGTGGGGACCAACAGGGACTTCCTGCGCTTGGGGACCCGGGCAGCAGCTCCTTCCTTCCTTTCCCTGCGGGAGGCTGTGGGTCCAAGGATGAGGCAAACGAGCGTTTCTGGGCGATGCGCTCGGGAGGGTGATGGCCGGGAAAGGCGATGTGGAGCCTCGCAGGTTGGGCCGGAACCAGGACCCCTCCAGCTTCCGAGAACAGGCTGCCCCGGAGACCAAGGGGTTTATGGGTGTCACAGGCCGCCTGTTCCCAGAATCTCAGTTTGCCAAAACTCACTTCTGTCCCCAAAAGGCCAGATTACCAATTAACCACCCTCCCACCCCCAAACTTTTATTTGTTTATTTTTAAAAATACATTTTATTGATTTTTCTACAGAGAGGAAGGGAGAGGGAGAGAGAGCTAGAAACATCGATTCAGCTGCCTCCTGCACTCCCCCCCACCCCACCTCCCCAATTGGGAATGTGCCCGCAACCAAGGTACATGCCCTTGGCCGGAATTGAACCTGGGACCCCCTCAGTCCGCAGGCCGACGCTCTATCCACTGAGCCAAACTGGCCAGGGCCCCCCAAACTGCTTCAAGGAATACGATTTTTGAATGTGTTTAAGAAAGGCGGATATATTTTTCATGAGCACAAGTTTTCCTTTTTCTTTCTCTTTTTTGGCGGAACGCTGGTCGTTACCGCTCTCTCCCTCTCCACCTCACCAAGGGAAGCAAAACCCAAAGGGAAGAAGTCGCTATAGAACTCTTTGTCATCACCTTATTTGATTTTGTGTTGGTAATCTGAGACTCTTATTTTTTCTATCTTTAGCTGTCGTGACAGCATTTTTTGAGGGGCATTTCTCCTAATTAATTCCTCCCTTGCCATTTTTCTGTTCTTTTAAAATGTATTTTTATTGATTTCGGAGAGGAAGGGAGAGGGGGAGAGATAGAAACATCAATGATGAGAGAGAACCATTGATCAGCTACCTCCTGCACGATCTACACTGGGAATGGAGCTCCCAACCTGGGCATGTACCCTGACCGGGTAATGCTGGTCTTGTTGAATGAGTTAGAAAGTCCTCTCTGCTTCTATCCTCTGAAAGAGATTGTATAGAATTTGTATAATTTCTTCTTTAAATATTTATTAGACTTGATCAGTGAACCCATTGCATCCTGTTCTTTTTTCTTTTTTTTTTTTGCACACTCCCTGCCCATTCTCTCATAAAGTATTTGAGGAGCCAAGGAAAGGTCAAAGTGGTGGAAGCACAGAGAGGAGACTGGCCCCAAATAGAGCAGCTGGGGAGGGAAGGGGAGATGGACAATAGCTACACTGAGAGGCTAGATTATTATAATCTCTGAAAGCATAATAATATGGCCACTCAGTGTATGTCCTTCCATATAATAAAAGACTAATATGCAAACTCAACCAACCAAGAGTTCGACCAGCAGGCAGGCTGGCCAACCGCCCATGTCCCCTCCCCCTGGCCAGGCTGGCTAGACCCCACCCATGCACAAATTCATGCACCAGGCCTCTAATATGTATATGTGTCACACACACACACACAGACCACACACATATGCGTTCAGAGGTCGTAATAATCTGGTCACTCAGTGTAGATTACCAATCAATAGTTAAACACATCAGGAGGTGAGAAATGCTATGAAGAAAAATAAAAGTGGGTAGGATGGAGAGAGTGGTGGATAGGTAGGCTACCATTTTATTTATTTATTTATTTATTTATTTATTTATTTATTTATTTATTTAAAATATATTTTATTGATTTTGTACAGAGAGGAAGGGAGAGAGAGAGTTAGAAACATCTATGAGAGAGAGTCATTGATCAGCTGCATCTTGCACATCTCCTACTGGGGATATGCCCGCAACCAAGGTACATGCCCTTGACCGGAATTGAACCCGGGACCTTTCAGTCCCCAAGCCGACGCTCTATCCATTGAGCCAAACCGGCCTCGGCTAGGCTACCATTTTAGATAGGTGGGCAGGGAAGGCACCTCTAGTGAGGTGATATTTGAACAGAGACCTGACTGTTTTACCGATGAGAAAGCTCAGAGAGGGAAAACAATTTTCCTATGATCACAAGACAGAGTTAGTGTTGAATTAGTTTCTTTGATTCAAAAGCCCACGAAAAATGGTACATCTCTGTAGGGAATACACATCAGTATTTTTAAAAACTTTTTGAATGGGATTCCAGACTATTGTTAGCTTTTCTATCTCTACTCTTTTTTTTTTCAATATATATTTTATTGATTTTTCACAGAGAGGAAGAGAGAAGGATAGAGAGTTAGAAACATCGATGCAAGAGAATCATCGATCAGCTGCCTCTTGCACACCCCCCACAGGGGATGTGCCCACCACCAAGGCACATGTCCTTGACTGGATTCGAACCCGGGACCTTTCAGTCCGCAGGCCGACGCTCTATCCACCGAGCCAAACTGGTTTCGGCTCTATCTCTACTATTAACTCTTGCACCAAAGCGTTTCTAAGAAGTAAAACTCATGTCAGAGAATTATTTGTGCTTTGAATTTCAGTGGTGGTTAGGGACAAAAAAGGTTTGCTTTAAGCGGGTGCTGAGGATTACTTTGAAACTCAAAACCTAACATCTGGTTTCTGGTGTCCTTAAGGTCTTCTTGGGAAGGCGGACCCTCCCTTGAAAAAATGAAAGCTGCTCCGGGGAGTGTGCCTGAAGTGGAGACAGAGGCCCAGTCTCCGCAGGCCAAAGACTAAACTATGGCGTCCGCCGTTGCAGAGGATGCTCCAAGAACCCCAAATCAGGAGAAGAAGGGCCCAGTAAACCTGTTTCTGTTGCCCCTCGATAAACATGGTTTGGATGTCCGAATTGCAGAGGCTGATGCCTGGGATATCCAGGCACAGGGAAGGAAGAGCAAGGAAGTTAGAAAATCCTCTTTCTGGGAGAATATCGATGCCCCGGTGAGACAGAAATCCTCACTTAACCTGTTAACCGAGCGGGACGTATAAATACGTCAAACGTAAACAATATCGGGTACGGGTAGGATGTATAAATACATCCTTGAAATATATGTTGCGCCCTGAGACGGGCGGGATGTATATTTCCGAACAACAAAGGTATTAGTCATCCATACATGTCTATCTTGCTATTGAGAGAGGTGGACCTGTTCTGGGTGAGCAGTGACGGGTACGTACTTACACTTACCTACCTATTTTCGTATTATATATTATTATATCTTTTATATCTCCAACCTTTATATAATAAAAAAATATAAAATTGATCCAATCATCAGTTAATTTGTCAGAAAAGTTTTAAAGCTTTTATGTATGTGAACGAGAAGTATGCGTAGATGAATCTCTTTTATTATGGAAAGGGAATTTATCTTGGAAACAATATATATCTACAAAAAGAGCTAGATTTGGAATGAAGTTGTTTATGTTGAGTAAAGCCAATCTGGATACGTACAAAATATAATTTTATATACAGGCAAGGACACAAATTATGGTTCGAACTACCCACAAGAAAAACAATCAACAAGAATTGTTTTGGAGTTAACACATGCCTTACTGAATAAAGAGTATAGGATTTACTTAGATAATTTCTATACGTCAATTCATTTGGCTGAATTCTTGTGTCAAAACAATACAGACATTGTTGGAACAATGAGGATAAACAGCGTCGGAATCCCCAGTGAAATAAAAACAAAAAAAATTACAGAAAAATGAACATATGTAAGAATCAAAGACAAACTTACAGTTTTAAAATGGAAGGATAAAAAAGACGTATTGGTGTTCAGTTCTATTCATAATGACGAAAAGACAATGATTGAAAAGAGAGGAAGAAGGCAAGAAAAACCGAATGTTGTCCTGGATTATAACAAGAATATGGGCGGGGTAGATTTGGGAGATGGAGTTAATGGTGGCCTACACGGCTGCCCGTAATAGGGTAAAAAATTTTATAAAAAATTTTTTCTATGATTAATTGATACATGCTGCTTCAGTGCATATATTATATACAAAAAAGATAAAGGTCATTTGGATAGATTACACTTTTTGATACAGTGTGTAGAGAAATTGGTAGATAACAACATAGTGAAAACCCACCCAAAGACATCAACAAGCAGCTCTACATCTAAACCATCACGCTTAGTGGAAAGGCATTTTCCAGAACAAATAAAAGCGATATAGGAAAAACTAAATCCAGGAAATGCCGAGTTTGCTACAAAAAAGGTGTTAGGAAAGAATCTACATACTGGTGTCTGGATTGTAAGGTAGCACTATGTATCAACAATTGTTTTAAAATATATCACACGGAAGTTGAGTTTTGAATTTTTACATCTATATTTCAATTTTTTAAACTCAATATTTCTATTTTATTTGTGTGCTTTTGTTTATTGTTCTGTAATTGTTAACTTTTACATTTTTTATTGTGTACAGAAATAAAAATATATATTGTTTATAAAATTTATAATTTTTTATAAAATTTATAATTTTTTAATTTGATGTTTCCATTTTTTTGTAGGTATTCTTTTCTATTGGTTTGTAATTCTCTATTTTCCTTTGTGCTTTATATATAAATAAACAAAAAAAATATATTTCATTTATTTTAATTAAATATAAATAAAAAATAATAATAATATAAAATTATGTCCACTGGGCGTGACGTACTACACGTCCTAGGGAAAGAGTATGCGCCCGTTGTACGTTGCGTAGTTAAAAAGGGAACCCGGTTTCAGGTTAAGAAGACGGCGTTATTAGAGAAGGAAGATAGTAAGAGCTGCTACACCCGTCCAGTCTGGCCCAGCAAGGACACGTTCATCCTCTCCCTGCTGGGCTTCTCCTTGAGGGCACTCAATCTCTGGCGTTTTCCATACCTGTGGCTTCACAATGGAGGCTGTAAGTCTGGGGACCTGTGGATCATGGGACCACAAAGGGTTAGCAAGACAGACTTATCCAGGCCTCAGACTGGGACCTGTAGAGGCTGGAGACTCGGTGTTCTGAGCAGGATAGGAGCTAGCTGTCTGCACACCGAGGGTGGTGAGGGGGGTCGAGGGGCGGGACACCTGAACATGATGGTGGGGTAAGCCTGTATCGGGGTTAGGGTGGAAACTGTGTATCTGGGTCTTCCGGGAATTGGGGGGCAAGGAGCTGGACGTCTGGGGCTTTAAGGGATATGGAAATAGTTACAACCTCATGCCTGTGGCCCTGAGGGAGGTCCCTGGTAGGGAATGTCTTTTTCTGAACTCCCAACGAAACCCACCTGCTGAGAAGCCAGATGATCTTCAGAGCCCTTCCTTAAATCCCCTGCACAGGGAGTTTTTTCCTCATCTACCTGGTCTTGCTGTTTGTGGTCGGGATTCCTCTCCTCTTCCTCGAGATGGCGGTTGGTCAGAGGATGCGCCAGTACAGCATTTTTTCCTGGGCTGTCATTAGCCCCTGGTTTGGTGGTGTGGGGTTTAGCAGCTTAACGGTGAGGAGCCCTGGCTGCCCAGGCCTGCCCTTGACATCCCACCCCCATCCCTGCCCTCATCCTGGAAGGAGTCCCCTGATTTCGCTTCCATGGGTCAAGTCCCTTTGTTTCCTCAGTCCTCTGTCAAATCCCCTCCTTTGGCCCGTCCCCACTTTTCCTCTCCAGCCGCCTCCTTCCTGGCCGCGCAGGTGAGCTTCATCACCGCCATGTACTTGAACGTGGTCAATGCCTGGATCCTCTTCTACTTGGGCCAGTCCTTCCTTTCCTTTGCCCCGTGGCGGCAGTGTCCTCTGCTGAAGAATGTCAGCAGCTTTGGTGAGGAGGAAGCGAAAGAGAAGGGACACAGAAAGGTGGGAGGGGATTTGGAAGAGGAGAAAGGAGTGAGTGAGGAGGGATAAAGAAGCAGCAGATTGCAGTAGGAAGAAGAAATGAGAGGAAGAGGAGGTGGGGAAGGGTTAATGAAGAGGGAAACGGTCACCCCCGTCTAACAAGGGAGTCCAAAGCCAGATCCCCCCCAGATCCCGAATGTGCACGGACAGCGCCCTCCATGTACTTCTGGTACCGGGTGACCCTGAGGGCCTCGGACAGGATCGAGGACAGAGGGCCGCCGTCCGTCACGCTGCTCCTGCCTTTTCTGATCGCTTGGTGTCTGGTTGGCATTTTCATGGTTAATGGGATCAGAACCATCGCGAAGGTGAGTCTCCATATTTGGATTCCTTAACAGGCTCAGAGCCTTACGTCCTCACCTAACATGACTACTCGTGGATCTGATTTCCCGCTCCCTCTGGCCTCTCACTCCCAAAAGCCCCTGAACCCTCCTCATTTCTGGCTCAGAATGTTTTATCCCTGCTGACTGCTGATCGACCCTCCCCGCCACCGGCACATGGTTGCTGATATGCCTTCCCCTGAATTCAGGTAGAATATATCTTGATACCATTGACCACTATCAACGTAATCCTTATCTTCGTCCGGAGTTTACTGCTGCCCGGGGCACAAAGCGGGCTTCAATATTTGACACTTATGAAGGTATATCGTCTCCTCTCCTCTCTCAGACCTTAGAGGACACCTGTTGTCTGTTCTTGGTATCCTTTCCTCACTCCATCCCTTTGCATCCCTGTATTCTGTTAAGGTTCTCCTCCTCTTTGACATCTCTCCTTATTCTTCACTTCTCCCTTGTAGGTATCATATATGTACAACATCAGATCGTGGGTCCAAGCAGGCGTGCAAGTCTTGTGTGCCTTAGGTCTCGGCTATGGGCCGGCTGTTGTTTACTCCTCGTACGTGGACCAGCCCAGCAACTGTCTCAATGATGCGTTTATTCTGGCTTTTATCAACCTGGGCTTCTCAATACTCGTCTCACCTTTTATCTTCAGTGTGCTGGGCTTCTGGGCCACCCTCATCACGCAAAACTGCGCTGCGAAGTAAGGCCAGCCCCTTAGTTGAGAGTTTCAGCCTCAGGGAACTACAAAACCCAGGGACCCTCATCTCACGGTGCCGCTGCAAAGCCCCACCTTCACCCAGGTGCCCTAGAATGAAAAACAGAGACAAGAGAATCCCTGTCACAGGTTACCCTGCTCAGAGTCCTGTTCTAGCCCCGGGAATCTTCCATGTCAGAGATTGCCAATGGCTCGCCTCAGCGTAGCTCCACAGAGAAATTCAAAAAAAAAAAATAACCACCAGTCAAGGTTCAGACAGCCTCTGAGACCACACCCTTCGGAACACCCTTCTGCTCCCGAGTGCTGTCATTCTTTACTGGCAACTCCGGAATGTAGGGGTGTCAGTCCATCTGTCATACTCCAGCCCCACCAGGACGCTCAGGGCTAGAGCCTGGATTGTCTTTTCAGCCTGTCCCATTGTGTAGGCAGGAATGAGAACCGTCCCTCAGGCGTCTGGAAAGGGCTCTGTGTGGATCAGACCACAGTCCGTGCCTTCATTGTGTTTTCCGTTTCGGAGGGAGGAAGGGAAGAAATGTAGATACTTCATCACAATCATAAAGTCATGATAACTGGTGGCGGGAGTGATGGGAAGACAGAAGACAAAGCCTCGGCTAGTCAGGGAAGGACTTCTAAAGGAGGCGAACCTAAGCTGAGTTTGTCCCCAGGGCTCCTGACGGGTAAATAACCACCAGAAGAACATACAGTCTTTTGGTTTATACAATTGGATCGAACTGTACTTATTTTCCTGCAGCTTGCATTTTGCTCTTATCAGTAAGCCTCGGCAAGCGTTATTAGAGAAGGAGCAGCGAGCTGATATCTAAGGATTTGTAGAATTCACCAAGTGGAGAACGGTGGCGGGGGTGGGTTGGTCTTGGGCGTGAGAGGCTCTGGCAAGCCCTGAAACTGGAAGTGGTCAAATCTGACCACAGCACACAATGTGCAGAGGGCCGTGGGGCGGGGGGGCAACACAAGGTGAGCGAGGCCAGCAGAGCTCAGATGAAAAAAGACCGAGAAGCTTCTCATAGCTCAGCTCCCTGGGAGAGTTATGCACTGTCACCTAAGTGCACGGTACTTCCTCATCCTCCGTATGCAAAGCTTAGAAGGTTGACTTTTGCCTACGTGTCTAAAACGGGAGGAAAGGCCAGAACCGGTTTGGCTGAGTGGATAGAGCATCGGCCTGTGGACTGAAGGGTCTCAGGTTCGATTCCGGTCAGGGGCATATGGACCTTGGTTGCGGGCACATCTCCTGTGTGTGTGGGGGGGGGTGCAGGAGGCATCTGATCAATGATGTTTCTAACTCTCTACCCCTCTCCTTCCCTCTCTGTAAAAAAAAAAAATATATATATATATATATATATATATATATATATATATATATTTAAAAAAATAAAACGGGGGGAAGGGCAGAGGTGAGGATGAGGAAGAGATTTCATCCCTAGAGCAGGGACCCCAGAGTCCATGGAAGACTCTAGGAAAAGCTTCTCCTGGTTCACACGAATTCATGACCCCGAAAGTGGGGGCCTTTTCAGTTGCCTCCCAGGCTAGATCAGTAATGCGAAGCTAGAGATGTCCTTTCTTCTCTGGAAGACAAGGAGCCAGATGGTTCTATGTGGTTCAACTTTTTATCCCCAGGAATTCCGAACTGCTCTTGAAACTGGTACTTGAGGGGAAGCTGCCTGCTGAGGCCTTTCCCCCTTCCAACATGCAAACTCTTCCAGCCTCCGTCTTCAACTCCTGGCTGAACAAACTTTCCAAGCGCACCAAGAACATGGTCCTCAAATACGTTACTGAGTGCCACATGGAGAAGCAGTTTATGAAGGTCGGTAAAAATAGGCGCTCTGGGCTGAGAGTTCCTTAATGCCTTCTGTAAAATAGAAATCTCATTTTTTATGAGCACCAGAAGAAGAAGAAAAAAAAAAATCCCAGAGACACCAGGATAACCTGCAGCCCTGGTAATGCAGGGAAGTATAGCTTACCGAATGGCCTCCCCAGGATAATGCTGGGGGGATTGGTTTTCCTTGTCAGAGAGTCAGCTTGGAGATCTGATTTTCTCAGTGACCCAAGGCTTTTAGGAAGTTTTCCAGGGAAGATAGAATATCTTTATCTCTCCAAAATCGGTGTGGCTCAGTGGATAGAGCATCGGCCTGCGGACTCAAAGGTCCCAGGTTCGATTCAGGTCAAGGGCATGTACCTTGGTTGCGGGCACATCCCCAGTAGCGGGTGTGCAAGAGGCAGCTGATCGATGATTCTCTTTCATCGATGTTTCTAACTCTCTATCCCTCTCTCTTCCTCTCTGTAAAAAGATCAATAAAATATATTTTAAAAATACATTAACAACATCAAAAAAAAAGATTAAACCTTTAAAAAACAAAAAAAGAATATCTGCATTGTTGTTACATTCAAGAACACTTTCACTCGGGACTTTTCTCCCCCTTCACAGGTTAAGGAGGGCCCAAACTTTGCATTCCTGGCCTTTATTGAAGCCATGTCCTTCGTCCCTGGGTCTGCCTTCTGGTCCATCCTCTTCTTCCTGCTCTTGCTGTGCCTGGAGATGAATTGCATGATAGGGCTTCTGCAGAGCATCCTGACTCCGCTTCAGGACACCTTTGCTTTCTGCAGGAACCATGCAAAGCTATTTATAGGTACTCCGACCTCTGTATGGCCCCCCTCCCCCCACTGACCCTGGTTTCACTGAGACTCTAAGCCAACCCCGGCAATAACCTCTGCTTAGGCCGAAACCGGTTTGGCTCAGTGGTAGAGCGTTGGTCTGCGGACTGAAAGGTCCCAGGTTTGATTCCGGTCAAGGGCATGTACCTTGGTTGCGGGCACATCCCCAGTGGGGGGTGTGCAGGAGGCAGCTGGTCGATGTTTCTCTCTCATCGATGTTTCTAGCTCTCTATCTCTCTCCGGTCCTCCTCTCTGTAAAATATCAATAAAATATATTTTAAAAAAAAAAAAACCTCTGCTTAGGCCCCTCCTCCCCCAGGCAGACCTCTGACCTGATCCACGTTCAATGTTCCTTCCAGTGTTTCTCTTTGGGCTCCTGTTCCTGTGCGGCATCTTCTTCATTGAACCTGCAGGCGTCTACTACATCGTACTGCTGGTTGATTACTGCATGGTCCTCCCCATCATCTTCATTATCACCTTTGAAAACGTGGCCGTGAGCTGGGCCTATGGGTCCAGGAGGTGATTACTTGGGGCTAAGGGAAGGATGACCTCTTTCTTTCTTTCTTTTTTTTTTTTTTTTGTTTAATATATTTTTCTTGGTTTCAGAGAGGAAAGGAGAGGGAGAGAATCATTAATGATGAGAGAGAATCCTTGATCGGCTGCCTGCTGAATATCCCCATGACCCAGGCATGTGCCCTGACCAGAAATTGAACTGTGACCTTCTGCTTCATGGGTTGATGCTCAACCACTGAGCCATCCTGGCGGAACTGACCCCTGTCTTTCTTTTTGCCTCCATTCTCACTCAGCTAGAGCGACACTAGGGACCCTCAACTTTCGGGCCTTCTGTGAAACCTTTTAATTCACTCATTTATTGAACATATTTATTAAATACTATGTGCCAGGCACTTTTTTAAGGCCCCGGATAGAGTCTCAAATGAAACAGTCACACATGTCCTCAGGGGATTTACATTCTAGTGGTAGAGATAGTCGCCAAATGAACAACAACAACAAAAATGTTCGTTGGTAATAATTGACAGGAGAAAAATCATAGAATAAGGTAAAACGATCAAGAGTGTGAGTTTGTGTGGGTGTTAATTGAGGTAGGATTGCAAGAAAGACCTCCGATGAGACATTTGAGCAGACTCCTGAATGAAGGAGTCGGATGGGATTCTGGGAAAGTGTGCTCCAAGGAGAGGGAGCATTATGCCTGGAAGCTGTAAGAAACAAGGAGATCGGAGAGGTCGGAATAGGATCCTATATAATAAAAGCCTAATATGCTAAGAGTCTGACCATTCGTTTGACCATTTGACCAGTTGCTATGATGCACGCTGACCACCATGGGGCAGACACTCCCACCAGTAGGTTAGCTTGCTGCTGGGGTCTGGCCAATTGGGATCGGGCAAGACCGGTTGGCCGGACACGCCCTGGAGCCTTCCCGAAGACAATTGAGACCCCTTGGCCTGGCCTGTGCCCTCTCACAATCTGGGATCCCTTGGGAGATGTCAGAGAGCAGTTTCGGCCCGATCCCCACAGGCCAGGCCGAGGGACCCCGGGGATCGGGCCTAACCCAGCAGTCAGAAACCCCTCTCGTACTCCTGGGCTCTCACAGTCCAGGACTGTGGGCTTGCCAGCCCTGAGCCCGGCTTCTGGCTGAGCGGTGCTCCCCGTATGGGAGCGCACTGACCGGGGCAGCTCCTGCATTGAGTGTCTGCCCCCTGGTGGTCAATGCACGTCATAGTGACCATCTTTCCACCGTTCAGTCGATTTGTGTATCACACTTTCATTATATAGGATGACAGAGGAGGCACTAGAGAGTTTTGAATAGGGGAAAGACATAATCAGATGAAAAATTTTAAATCTTCACCCAAGTATACTTTTTCCATTGATTTCCAGAGAGAGTGGAAGGGAGGGAGGAGGGGGTGAGGGGGGGAGAGAGAGAGAGAGAGAGAGAGAGAAACATTGATTGACTGTCCTCGTAAGCACTCCCACAAGGACTGGGAACCTGCAACAAAGTACATGCCTTGATTGGGAATGGAACCTGTGACCCTGTGGCCAGGGCCAGATTTATTAAAACAAACACCTATATCCCAGCTGGTGTGGTTCAGTGGTTGAGCATTGACCAGGAGGTCACTCGTCAGGGCACATGCCTAGGTTGCAGGCTTGAACGCCAGTGGGGGACATTACAGAAGGCAGCTAATCAATGATTCTCTCTCATCATTGATGTTTCTGCCTCTCTCTCCCTCTCCCTTCCTCTCTGAAATCAATACAAATATATTTTTTTAAAAAGAAGATACCTGTAATTGCTTTGTGGAGAATAGACTATGAGGAGTCAAAAGCAAAGCACGGAGAACAGCAGTGAGTTATTGTAATATTGTGAATGGGAGCTAACAACGGCTTAGGCTAGGTGTTCGAGGGGTAGATGGAGAGATGTGGTCTGATTCTTCAAGGAAGAACGATCAGGGGAGAGAGAACAAAATAGCCAGGGACCGGAAATTAGTAGCTATAACTGGAGTGGGAGAGTGGGAGAACCCAAGTCACACACGGGATTCCTGAGCCCAGCTTTTGTCCAGGCTGGTGTGCGGACATCCAAGTGGGATGATTCAAGGGCAGAAGGCTCAGAGGACAGTGTTTGCAGGTGACAGTAGTTCTTGGAGTCAGTTCACTCACATTTACTTACTCCACAAATATTTCTTTATATATATATATATAATTTTATTGATTTTTTTTACAGAGAGGAAGACAGAGGGATAGAGAGTTAGAAACATCGATGAAAGAGAATCATCGATCAGCTGCCTCTTGCACACCCGCTACTGGGGATGTGCCCGCAACCAAGGTACATGCCCTTGACCGGAATCGAACCTGGGACCTTTCAGTCCGCAGACCGATGCTCTATCCACTGAGCCAAACCGGTTTCGGCCACAAATATTTCTTGAGACTTTCTCTGTGTGGAGAAAGCCTTGTAGTACTTGGATACAAATGACTTAAAATTAGCTCCTCCTGTTGCAGGGTGGGGCGTGGGAGAGTGGGGAGGTGGAGCGCAGAGTCCAAAGAGGAGGACAGATGCAAGCAGACAATCGCGGTACAAGTTGGTTAGTCCAGAGGAGAGGTGTTGGCAGCACTGGAGGGTAAGGTGAGCAGACGTCCCGCTTTTGAACAATTTGTCCCGCGTCCCGCGGCATTTAAAAAAATCGGGACTTTTTTAAAACGCCGCGGGACACATCGATAAAAATCGGGACTGTCCCGCCAGAAGCAGGACGTCTGGTCACCTTACTGTAGGGGGCGCTGGAAGGTCAGAGAGGTATCTTAGAGGAGAAGACAATTGAGCAGAGTCTGGACAGGTGAACAGTCTGGACCAAAGGACCTCACTTGTATATTTATTCAGTTTGAGATCACGCACTGAAGGAGGCTGGATAGATGGGCTGGGAAAAAACTAAGGAAAATTCCCTGAGGGTCGCATGTTAACTTTATTGGGGGCCTGTGTGTGTTCACCTAGAATAGTCCCTGGCACATCTTAAATACTCTCATGTTTGTTTGTTTTTTGTTTTGTTTTGTAACATTTTATTGATATTTTACAGAGAGGAAGGGACAGGGATAGAGAGTTAGAAACATCAATGAGAGAGAAACATCCATCAGCCGCCTCCCGTATACCCTCCACTGGGGATGTGTCCGCAGCCAAGGCACATGCCCTTGACTGGAACCGAACCTGGGACCCTTCAGTCTGCAGGCCGATGCTCTATCCACTGAGCCACTCCAGTTTCGGCCATACTCTCATGTTTTTGGAATGAATGAAAGGTTTTAGGGCGGGAGAGGAATGGTTACCATTTGTTCTCGGGTTGGGAGAAGAGACGAGAAGAGAACAGGAGGCCTGGGCCGAGGCAGGAGTTTGGAAGCCAGGTAGAATATTTGAAAAACGCTAAGTAAGCTCAATCAGGTCAGGCTGGCCTCGCCCCCGAAGGAAGGGGAAGGCTTGGCTGGGCCTGCCACCGTCCCGCGGCCCTTTCCTCCAGGTTTCTTGCAGAACTGGGGACTCTGTGGAACCGCCCCATCCATCCCATCTATCACTGGCTGTGGTGCTACGTGTGTCCAGCTGTGCTGACGGGCCTGTTCATTGCAATCCTGTCTTTCCAAATTATGAAGAACTTCACCTATGTGGCCTGGGACTCCAGCACTGTGAGCCTCCCTCCCCAGACCCCAGACCTGCCCTGAGAGCAGAGGCCAGATCTTTCCATCCACTCTGGCCTACAGGGACTTTTCTAATGCCCTGCTCCCTGAACACGCAGTCCTCTGCCCGGGTTCCCCTCCCCCTCCTCCCTTCCACAGGCTTCCCTCTTCTAGGAGCTTCAGTGTTCCGAACCCCTTTCCCATCTCTCCACAGTCACGACAGGTGTATCGACCCTACCCATCATGGGTGCTGTTCCTGATGATTTCCATCTTCCTCATCATCACCCTCCCCATCCCCTTATACTTTGTATACCGCTACACCCATTGTACTCTCTTCAAACCCAGAAGCTTGGATGGCTCTCTCACGTCCTCCAGGCACAAAAGTGAGGACCAACTGACGGAAGCCTCACAAGCTAGCAGTGAACCTGCTGGCCCGTCAGTTGTGTGATATCCTCACTTCCTTGATGTGGGCCTGACGTCGCACATCCTTCGAAGCAGATCTAACAGGCAACTCTTAACTACCAATCATTATGTCCTTGGACCCCGAACTCCTTCTATTCCCGAGAATATAGCGTCATTTGGGGGGCTCTTGGGACCTGGCTTTGCAGCCCCCCTCTGGTTGCCACTGTCATTTCCCCCACCCCCTTTCTCCACATGGACACATGCGCACTGTCGGCGATGCAAACTGAAACCTGGAGCCGGAGGAGTAAGTAATGCTGTTGATCAATAAATCAATCCAAGCACTGGGTGTGAGCAGATCCGTTTTTATTTTCTATAAATAGCTCAGATATTCAGTCTTACTCTCAGGGGGCTGCCACCCCTTTGGGAGCTAAATATTCAGACCTGAGCTCCTGCCCTCTCCTTGATGTGGCAAGTTCGGATGCGAGATGACTCGACTTGCTTTATCCAGGGACTGGCCTTTAGCCAAGGAAAACCCAGGATGTGGTGGTTTCAACCAAGATGGGAGGGATGTTAATGTGCTTGTTAATGGGACACGGGACTCCCTTCATAGGTCTAAATGTTAAAAAATACATATTTTATTGATATTTTATAGAGAGGGAGGGAGGGAGATAGTTAGATACATCGATCAGCTGCCTCCTGCACACCCCCCACCGGGGATATGCCCGCAACCAAGGTACATGTCCATGACCAGAATCAAACCCAGGACTCTTCAGTCTGCACGCTGACGCTCTAGCCACTGAGCCAAACCAGTTTCGGCTAAAATTTTCATTAGAGTTTCCAAGACTGTCCTGCGGGCTCAGTCGGTGGAGCACGGTCCTGTGCACAGAAAGGTCGAGGGCTTGATTCCTGGTCAGGGTGTGTAGGGGAGGCAACAGATACATGTTCCTCACATCTATATTTCTCTCCCCCTCTCCCTCCCTCTCTCTCTAAAATCAGTAAAAACATCTTTGAATGGGGGGGGGGCATACAGTCTCCACTAAGTCATTCACACAGACTATGACACAATGACACAACCAGTTTGGGAACCACCAGATTGTACTCTGAGCCCACCAGGGTCCCGCATCCGCGTGGTAAGAGTTACCTTTTGCCCACGGGGCTAGGCCAAATGAATTTACTTAGTGGGTGAAAACTGAGCGGGTCTCGGGGAACTTGTAGGAGCGGTTGGGTCCACAGCGGTTGGGTCCAATGTACAGCTCGCCAAGAGGAGGAGGAGGAGGAGGAGGAGGAGGAGGAGGAAGAGAGGGAAGAGGAGGAGGGGGAGGAGGAGGAGGAGGGGGAGGAGGAGGAGGAGGAGGAGAGGGGAGGAGGAGGAGGGGGAGGAGGACGAGGGGGGAGGAGGGGGAGGAGGAGGGAGGAGGGGGAGGAGGAGGAGGAGGAAGAGGGGAGGAGGAGGAGGGGGAGGAGGAGGGGGAGGGAGAGAGAGAGAGGGGGAGGAGAAAAGAGAGGAGGAAGGAGGAGGGGAGGAGGAGGAGGGAGGAGGAAGAGGAGGGGAGGAGGAGGAGGAGAAAGAGGAGGGAGAAGAGGAGGAGGAGGAGGGAGGAGGAGGAGGAGGAGGAGAGGGAGGAGGGGAGGGGAAGGAGGGGGAGGAGGAGGAGGAGGAAGAGGGGGAGGAGGAGGAGGTGGAGGAGGAGGGGGAGGGAGAAGAGGAGGGGGAGGAGAAAGAGGAGGAAGAAGAGGAGGAGGGAGGAGGAAGAAGAGGAGGAGGAGGAGGAGGGGGAGGAGGAGGAGGAGAAAGAGGAGGGAGAAGGAGGAGGAGGAGAAGGGGGAGGAGAGGAGAGGGAGGAGGAGGAGGGGGAGAAGGACGAGGGGGAGGAGGAGGAGGAGGGAGGGGGAGGAGGAGGAGGAGGGGGAGGAGGAGGAGGAGGAGGAGGGGGGAGGAGGAGGAGGAGGAGGAGGAGGGGGAGGAGGAGGAGGAGGAGGAGGGGGAGGGAGGAGGGGGGGAGGAGGAGAAGGAGGAGAGGAGGGGGGAGGAGGAGAAGGGAGGGGAAGAGGGAAGGGAGGAGGAGGGGGAGAAGGAAGGAGGAGGAGGAGGAGGGGGGAAAAGGGAGAAGGGGGAGGAGGAGGAGGAGGAGGAGGGAGGGAGAAAGAGGAGGAGGAGGAGAAAGAGGAGGGAGAAGAGGAGGAGGAGGGGGGAGGAGGAGGAGGGGGAGGAGGAGGGGGGAGGGAGAAGAGGAGGAGGAGGTGGGGGGGGGGGAGAAGTCAGCCAGTGGCTGGGGCGCGGGGGCCTTGGGTAGAGTTGGTGGGATTCCCGAAGATCCAAGGTTTCCTTAGGATCTGAGGCTCCAGGAACTCCAGGACGGCGGCTGGCTGGGCTCCCGGGGAGACCATCGCCGCCCACGTCCCGTGATGAAGGAGGAAAAGCAGGCCTTCCCGGCCGTTCGTTGGCGGCGGAACCCCGGGGGCGGAACCCCTGGGAGGAGCAGGGGCGCCCCAACGTCCCCGGACCCCAGCAGTTCCACCGCGCCCCTCCTACTCCGGCTCGAGGGCGGGAGGGGCGGCCCCGTGCTCCGCCCCCTCCGCCCCATTGGCCCCCGCGCCCCGTAGCCCCGCCCCGCCCGCCCCGCCCCCATCCAAACGACCTGCCCCCTGAGGACTCCTGCTAGTGAGTCAGGTGAGGCGGGATGGCGGGGGACACAGGCGCCTCCTCACGGTCAGGTGGCCCGAGCGACAGGCTCCTTCCTCTTGGGAAGCCAGGTGTTCGTCCTCCTCCCGCCCAGCTCCCCGGCCTCCCGCCCAGCTCCCCCGGCCTCCCGCCCAGCTCCCCGGCCTCCCGCCCAGCTCCCCCGGCCTCCAGCCCAGCTCCCCGGCCTCCCGCCCCAGCTCCCCCGGCCTCCCGCCCAGCTCCCCGGCCTCCCGCCCAGCTCCCCCGGCCTCCCGCCCAGCTCTCCGGCCTCCCGCCCAGCTCCCCGGCCTCCCGCCCAGCTCCCGGCCTCCCGCCCAGCTCCCGGCCTCCCGCCCACTCCGGAGGAGAGCGTGGAGAGGCTCTGAAAAGCAGGGCTGACCGGGTAAACCCATGGGAGCGGAGCCAAGGTCTTGATTGATGTGTGCCCTCCCTCCTCCTCTTCCTCCCCCTCCTTCTCTTCCTCCTCCTCCTCCCCCTCCC